TTTACAAGGCATTTTTGCACTGAAGGAGTGCTGTGGATTTTGACCCGCATCATACATCAAAATTGGTTTAGGAATGGATCTTCACGGCTAGTATGGACAGGAGGAAATATCACAGTGACCTCTTTCAATGGAATGTGACCATAGTTTTAAGATACAACTGAAACATTTGACCAATCCATTAAGATGATGGACTAATTGTTTCTCCTCAGATTTTAAATGGTACGGTATGGTAAATTGTTGGTTCATTTAGATATTTTTCACAATGTATTTATTCACTTCCATTAATGTATGTTTTATTTATTTGTGAAGGAATCAGCTAAAAGTCTCAAAATTATCATACCTTTCTCCAACATCATACATCAGCGCTAAAGGCACGGATGGAAGACACTTTCTGAGGATATATGATGGTTCTGGCTTTAATTAGTACAGCCTGTATTAGTAATGTCATCTGTTCTTTACAGGCTATGCTAATCTATGCCAGAATTAGCAATGCAATGGAAGCTGAGGACTGAATTCTTTGAAAACTTTTGTCTAGCACCATTAAGATGTACAATAAGCTGTCTTGGTTGAAAGTCTAGAGTCCAAGATGTTGCTTTATGCATGTTTAGGTCATTTTAATCATGAAACACAAAGGACAGAAGTTCCTCTGCTGCAGGGCCACTACAAAGCAGTGGTGCTTCAGTACTTTAAAAGTAGGATATACTTACATATATATTTCAAATGAAAATTCATTAGGGTCCCAGGACTGCACTTTTTTGTATATAGTTGTCTGTTGGTATTCATGTGCATAAGCACTTAAATAAACAGAAATAGTGTCATCATTGGTGACTGAACAGAATACACAACAAATGAAAAGATCTGTGTCAGCTGGAGGCAGCTAACAACAATAGTCATACAGATTGTGGAGAAACCACTGTGGATAGGTACACTAGAAAAACAGAAAAAGAACATAAAAACTTCAGAGAGATAAAAACTGAAGTTGGTGATGAGAAGGTTGGTGGTTAGAGCCCCTATTCCTCTCGCTGTGTGTTGTGTTGTGGTGTCTGAATCCCAAATTTCCGATGTCCCGATGATGTACCATTGGTGTGTGAATGGATTAGTTTCTGTTTCCGATTAGTAGTTGGCACCTTGCATGGCAGCCCCTGCCATCAGTGTATGAATGTGTGTTGTTGTTACATGTAGCTTAAAGCACTTTGAGTGGTCTAGAAAGACGCTGTATAAATGCAGTCCAACAACAACATTTATAATCAATTAAGTTTCTGAAGGCCCAAAGTTGGTCAGAAAGTTCTGCTGCTGCTTTCACACCTAACCTGTTTGGTTTGGTTAAAACAACCTCTGGTGCGTTTACTGTTCTGAAAGCTGTCAACTGTACCCTGACGTGGACTAAACAAGTGGAACGAGAGCGACTGAGGTTCTAGTTCTGCTTCCAAGTGAACTCTGGTACAGTTTGTTTGTGCTGTGAATCACATAATTGTGAAACAATAGATATATTACTTTAGCATAAATGCAAACACTAAACAACTATTAAATCCATGAACTGATCATGAACTGGTAGGAAATCCCCCCCATTTCTCCAAACAATGTATATCCAATACTTACAAGATACAATTTATACGATTGTAACCCGAATGAGTGATGTGTGTATGGTGATTTCCCCCCCTGATATCAGAAAGAGAGAAGCAGTTAAATTAGAGATGCAGGTGTGGTGGGTAATGTACATTTAGCTACCCTATTTACTGCTGCCTGCAGACCATTTTGGGACAATCTTTGTCATTTTATTTTGGGGGGGGGCTCAGGAGCCACTAGTGCAGCACACACGTATGGGTGAATATATGGGCAATTGGATTGACAGTGGCCGGCACTCATGGTGGGTTTGTGGAAGCATCTGTGCATGTAATTATTTTTCGTCAGTTATTCAGCCCAGTTCATATAGCACACAAGGTACTTAAAGTGGATGACACAGCACTGGCCACAGGTGTCCTGTAGTCTATGATAAAATGCTTGGAAAAGAACCAGTCAAAAGTGGGATGATGTCTGGATTTAAATCCAAACATTCTGCAAATCAGTTGGTGTCAGTGAGACCAAGCAAGCAAGCTGTCAAACAACCAGCTGCTCTTAACTGGGGCAGCTGTGGCTCAGAGGCACAGCAGGTTGTTCCTTAATCGGAAGGTTGTGGGTTTGATCGCCAGCTCCTGGTGCCACACGTCGAAGTATCCTTGAGTAAGATACTGAACCCCAAATTGCTCCCAATGCCATGCATCGGTGTGTGAATGTGTATGAATGTTAGTTTCTGTTCAATGGACTTTGCCATCACTGAGTGAATGTGTGTGAAAGGTGTGTGAAAAGCGCTTTGAGTGGTTGGAAGACTAGAAATGGCGCTATACAAGTACAGGTCCATTTACCATTCACCATTTAACTGTGCAGTTGTCACCAGCACCTTTGGCCAAAGAGAATACCAGACCAGTGCAGCAGCACAAAGCGTGAAACAAAAATATGCAAGTCAGCTCTACTCTCCTGTTTGGACCATGGACACAAAGTTTTCAACTAGGTTTTCAATAGCAATTGCAAAAAGTGTGAATGCACTGTTAGGATGTGACTACGGAGGTGCAGAGAGCCTGATCAGCCAATATGCAAGCCTACTCTCCATCATTCCTAAACTTGAACTGACTAAGATGATAATGGTGACAACAAAAATCATGTGTATCCACTGAAAGCCTCAAAAGGGAACTTGTCTCTATTATCCACACTACCAGAAACTTTTCCAGTTGGCTCTCGTTACCCATTGGAACCGCAGCATGTAATCAGAATCAGAATCAGAAATACTTTAATAATCCCCGGGGGGAAATTACTTTTAGGGGGGGGAGGAAAAGGGGGAGAAACAAGAGGAGAAGGGAGGAGAAAAAAGCAGCTCCCAGACTCTGCTCCTGTGGGGGAGTACAGTGTGGGACTGGGAAAAAAACCTCAGCAACATAAGCACATATGAGCACACTTTACAACATAAGAACTCAAAACAACTTGCACCGGGGGAGGCGGGAAAGGGGGGTGGAGGCGTACCAGCGCAGACAGGCAGCCGCGGCACAGCCAGATTCAGCGCAACCAGCGGAACCCCGCTTGTCGCACTGGGGGTAAAAAGCGGCGAAGGCGTGGGATGGGGGGGTACAGGGGTGTGTTGCATATGCGCATGTGTAAGTGTCCATGGGTGCGTGTGTGCACATAAGCCTGGAGAGTCGCTTCGTCTAGCCTCTCAATCAGTGCCTCAGTTCACATGGTGTCATCGCGATAACACAGCAGGTTGCCATGGAGACGTCCCTGATCGGGTCCTAAACAGAGTCATCTATCAACAGGTGTCCGTGAGGGAAGGGAGGGAGGAATAGGGCAGAGCGTCTCACTACAGCGGCCTTGGCCAAGGCCGGTGCTACTAAGGGCCGGAATGTAGATTAGATTATGATTGTTTGGGTTAGGGCGAGTAGTCGCATTTCAATAGACACGACTTACTCTGTTTGTCCATTCTGGTCTTCAAATCGATTCATTCTCCTTTGCAAAGCCGAAAACTTCTCCAAGATGTTATCCATGTTGCGGTTAATGACCACAGTCTGAGCACTAACAGCTCTATCCAAGATGTTTTCCATGTTGCGGTGTATAACCACCATCAGTGCGCTGACAGGTCTTTCCAAGGTGTTTTCCATGTTGCGGTTTATACCCACAGTCTGAGCGCTAACAACTCTGCTCACTCCATCAATCATGTCGGCAGCTTCATGGGGCTTTGGACTGCTGACACCGTCTTCCGAATTTTCCGATACACCAGGGCAATGCCTAATCCAATCAGCAGATAGCCTGTTATCATGGTTTTGAATATGTAGAGATCCTCGATGTCCTCTACGGAAAGAATTGCCAGGCACACAACCCTCCACTTCTCCCAGGAGTCCATCGTGTAACCAGTGACAAACGTTCCATCAGAGCAGATAGGTTCCCCTGAACCCGAGCTTCTCGTCGAGAGAATTCTGTCAATTGCGTTGAGAGACCAGTTGACCAATTCCATGATTTAAATGTGGAGAGCAATGCGGGGAGAGGCTCCCAAAGTTAGAGACAAGACAGGACGTGACTTGAGAAGCAAAGCAGGAAAGATAAGGGAGACGGGAGGGAGAGAGAGATGTGTCCGCCTTCGTTGAGAGCAAGAAGAAGAAAAAAAAGTAATAGATTGTTCTCAGCAATGTGGCGTATTTGAAACTGGCTAAGAACAATGATGCATCAGGAGAGATTGAGATTGCTGTTATGAACGGTAACAAGAATGATAGTGATGATTAGCCTTTCCAATCTTCAGCCTCACCTGCCACCTATGCAGAGATAAGAAGTGCTTATGTCCTATGCCATATATTTTGGCAGTTCCACTGTATGACCACACAGTAACCAAAATAACCACAACACAGTTCAAATGCTTTTTTAAATTTCTTTGTCTGTTTGTCACTATTTGTGGTTTAAGAGGGCCAGTCACAGTCTCGACTACTAATGCTCAGAATGAGTTATTTCTTCGTGAGCTCTTTGTGATACAACATTAATATACACACAAAAAACTTTAACTTGTGTCCCCATCATCTCTCAGTTTGGAATTCCAACTTTCACAGTGCACTGCAGTATGTTCCTGAATTAATCTACTAATAAAATACATTTCAACACCACTTTGATGAATGCAAAGTTGGTCTGAATATCTATGATGAAATATAGCTCATAGGGCATCATTGCATCATTTTAAGAAAAAAGGAGATTGCACATTGATGGGAGGAGGTCTAGAATAAAATGGCTCACAAACACACACACTCTTCAAAATAAACAGCAATACTGGAATGTTCTTATCCATACTGGTTGATAACATGGGCCCACTTGTGTATGATTAAATAGTTAAATCAGTTAAGTAAAATTATCATCTTTATATTTTTTTAAACACCATGATACTTAATTTTTGCAACTGAAAAACTGACTGTTTTTCTTCAATTTTCTTCCAGATGTCCATTGGTCATCATGAACCTGACCTCCAGCTCTGCTTCTATCCACTTCCTTAGCAACAGTTCTCCTGTTATGAGAGACCAGCCTGACACCACCATCATAGCTGAGCCTTCCATTTTAGGTAGGTCTAAGTCTCCAACACTCAAATCTTAAAAACAAGTAATGCAAATATTATGTAGTTTTGTGTACTATGAAATTATCTTTAAAAAAGTGTTCAATAAAAGGATATGTAGAGGGGAACAAAGAAGCCAAAATAGCTTATACAAGGCCCTTCCCAACATCAAACAAAAAATTGATGCAATGAAGTAGTATCAAGAAGGGTATTAAAACCCATTATATAATAATTAGTTCATCATTAATCTGAGAGGACATGAGGAAGGACTGATACTGTCGGATTACTGTTTAATGTCCGGAATATGATTCATTTTATTGATTTTTTCTTACAGTAAGATATTATTTAATTTTTTAGATTAAATTCAACTTTATTGTCACTGAACAAAGTACAAGTACTAGACAATGAAATGCAGTTAAGCATTTAACCAGAAGTGCAAAGCAGTAAGCTAAGCGGTTGCAGAGGGAGGTGATCAGACCGTAGGGGATGATGGTGTTGAATGCTGAACTGAAGTCAGTGAACAGCATTCTCACATAGGTGTTACTGTTGTCCAGGTGGGAGAGGGCGGAGTGTAACGCTATAGAGATGGCGTCTTCTGTACTTCTGTTCTGGCGGTAGGTGAATTGGAAGAAGTCCAGGGTGGGTGGTAGGCTGGTTTTGAGGTGAGTCAGGACCAACCTCTCGAAGCACTTCATGATGGTAGGCGATGGTAGGGACAGCTGCTTGGGCCAGTGATAGGTTGAAGATGTCGGTCAGGACCTCAGTCAGCTGCTTTATACTGTATGAACAGCTTCTCCTTCAGTTCATGAAATCACTCCAGGACTGATATGTTGAAATCCGCAGCCTCTGAGAAGTGATGCGCTACAGCAGTTACACATGGTTGTTTACTGTGTTTACCTTCATTAAATCCACTGAATACGACAGCAGGCAGCTACAGTATAATCATACAGACAACATCTGTCCGATTGGTTATAACTCGATTTTTATGATTGAGACGTCTGGTTACCAAAGCTCGTCAGAGCCTCATGTTATATCCTTGAAACACATTGCAGCACAAACACTGTTGTGTAACATTAATCATTAAACTATGTGACTGTACAAGGTAAGATGCACTAGAATCTTTAGAGAACCGGGACAGGAGCCATGCTGGTCAAGCTTGGACAGTCTTCATTTGGCATCTGTAGATAATAATGTCTCATTCTGGGCGCCCGGTTAGCTCAGTCGGTAGAGCTGGCGACCCATATACGCAGTGGCCCGGGTTGGAATCTGACCTACGGCCCTTTGCTGCATGTCATTCCCTCTCTCTCTGCCCCCCTTTCTTGTCTATCTCCAGCTGTCTCTCTATCAAATAGAGGCATAAAAAGGCCAAAAAAAAAAAGATGTGGTTTCCAGTCCTGATTCAAATATTTCAAGGATTAGGCTACTTTTATGATTGACAGGGAGTCTGTTCCAGAGATGTGCAGCATAGACTAAACGTTGCTTTACCAAGTTTAGCCCTGGCACTAGGCATTAGTGGGAGCTCACTCTCACTAAACCAGACAGGCATGGTAGGCATGTACTCCCTAAACATGCTGTTTATTAAATGCTACATATAAGTACAAAATCAAGGAATCATGGAAATGTATTGTATAAAAGTTTGTTGTTCCTTCATGTTACACATGTATAGAAAGATAGTCAATTTCATAAAATAACATAACGAATATACACAGGTTAGCCATAACATTATGACCACTGACAGGTGAAGTGAATAACACTTTTCTGGTTATCATGGCACTTGTCAGTCGGTGGGATATATTATATTAACCGGTGACAGGGTCATGGGCGTCCAAGGTTCAATGATGAACATGGGAAGTGACCTGTGTGGTCTGATCCAATTCAATTCAATTCAATTCAATTTTATTTGTATAGCGCCAATTCATAACAGAAGTTATCTCAGGACACTTTTCAAATGGAGCAGGTCTAGACCAAACTCCTTATAACATTTACAGAGACCCAACAGTACCACCATGAGCAAGCACTTGGCGACGGGGACAAGGAAAAACTGCCTGTTAAGAGGCAGAAACTTAGGACAGACCCTTCGGCACTAGATGGGTGGTCGTCTGTCTCGACCAGTTGGGGTGAGAGAGAGAGAGAGAGAGAGAGAGAGAGAGAGAGAGAGAGAGAGAGAGAGAGAGAGAGAGAGAGAGTGAGAGAGTGAGTAAGAGAGAGAGAGAGAGAGACAGAGACAGAGAGAGACAGAGAGAGACAGACAGACAGGTGCACAGCAACAACAGTAGCAACAACTACACCAATAGTGACTGATGATGATGAACATGAAGAAGACGATGACAACGACAACAGCAACGATGGGGGACAATGAGTAGTGACAACAGTAATAATAGTAACTGTAGTAATAATAATATTAATGATAATAATAATAACAATAATATCAGTGATATTAGCAATGGCAGTCAAGCAGGACCAGGCAGGAGGCTCCACCAGTATCCATGAGAACCTGCGAGACGAGAAAGCACAAGAACTCCGGGGAAGAAGTTAAGTTAGTAACATGCATTAATGGGACATGAATGAGTGCAGAAAGAGAGAGAGAGGAAGAGAGGAGCTCAGTGCACCATGGGAAATCTAGGTAGTCTAGGCCTATAGCAGCATAACTAAGGGATGGTTCAGGACTCACCTGATCCAGCCCTAACTATAAGCTTTATTAAAGAGGAACGTCTTAAGCCTACTCTTAAATGTGGAGATGGTGTCTGTCTCCCGAACCACAACTGGAAGCATCCAACAGATGAGCTACTGTAGCTCAAATTGCTGAAAAGATTGTGATGAAGATGATGGTTCTAATAGAAAGGTATCAGAACACACAGTGCATTGCAGTTTGATGTGTATGGGGCTGCATACCATTATGACCACCAGGTACCCAGGTGGTCATAATGTTATGGCTGATCGGGGTATATACACATATTTGTGTTTGAATTGAATGTGGCCCTCTACAAAGTTTATAAAGAACCTGATGTGGTACTTTGAACTGTGGCTTTATAAAAAACAAACAAAATACTTGTTTCCCCACTTTTTCAGGTGGCTCGTACCAGGAGTTGCCCACAGTATCTTACAGTGGGTGGAAGCAACATAATATCTCAAGGGAGGGAGGAAACTTCACTGCTTCACCAGTTAATAGGACATTTATACTCCCTGCAAAGGACTTTGACCCATTAGGAGGACATACTATCTGGCAGGTAACAATCAGCTGTGGTTTTACCACACTTCTACTTTGAAATATTTTAAATTAGTGCTTTGGTGAAACACACAGCAACACTGAACAAGCCATCAAAAAAGTTAAAAGTTTAAGTTCTAGACATGTTTACTTGATACTGCATATGGCTTACTATCTAAATATGCAGATATGTGACACTGCAGGTTGAAAGCACTCAAAAGAGATCAGACAGGGTATTGTTATGGACTCACTGTCCAAATTCCATGGCTTCTCTAGTGGAGAATTCTTACCGCCAGACAAACATTCAGCTGCACTCAAAGCCATGGAATTTATGGCTCATTTGAACCGGTCGCTTACAGTTGGTGTTCCAAGATAAACTTTGCAGGACTTAAGGACTTAATTCTTTTTATGTTACAAAACTACTTCCATAGGTCTGGTTAAATATTAGACATCCATTCATCCACAAATCCACCCACCCACTCATCCATCCACCTATCCATTTATCCATCCACATATCCATTCATCCATCCATTTGCATTAAAAAAAAATTATGATAGTTAATAAGAGACAACAAAAGCTGACTAGAAATGCAATGGATTAATCCTTTAATATAATATTCATCCAAGCCTAAAAGAGAGAAGAAGTAGGGCAGCAGAATGCTACTAATTGTCCAGACCACTGGCAATTTAGTACAAGCTAAGCAGCAGTTGTCTTGCTCTGACATGGTTTAAACCAAGGCTTCTGAAATTATAATACTATATGCCTATAGCTGGATATTCACCAAAGACTTGCGAAATGTGTGTCAGACTACATTTACATTTTTAAAATTGAAAAAAAAAAACCATCTTTGTCAGCATAAAGAGGTTTACTTATTGATAATAGAGGTCTGCTATCCATTTTCTTATGCGTTCCATTAATGTGTTCCAGTTTTGAATTTACTCAGTTTACCTAAATCCCATACTCTCAATTTATGGTATCCAGCATTCCAGGGACCTCATGTATAAACAGTACGTACACACAAAAAGGTTGCGTACGCTGGTTTTCATATACACAGTAGGATGTTTATAAATGAATGTGACGTGAGGGCGCAAACTCTAGATCAGCCGTGAAAATGTGTGGGCTGTGACGCAAACTCTTGTCTGGCTCAGTAACTTGCCAATTTAAAAGTTAAAGTACTGAAACTCGCCAGCTGTTTCTCAATACAATTTTCAATCCAGATACTGTCCAACTCGATATCAGATTTTTTTTCTTTATACTACCACTGACTGCTCTTTGCTTTCTACCGCTCTGTGGATTTACACTTGTTGCTTATTGCAGAGGACAAACCACCAAATAAAATATTATTTATGGCCTCCATCTAAATGATCAGCACCTCGATCTCACACTCAGTGAAGTTTTGGCCTTTGTGATTTGCACAGAAGATGACAGCAGGGGCGTATATTTATATTTATAGTCATTTGCATAGTAATTTATGGGAGTAGGCGCGGTGGGGTCAGTAGCTCGTTCACATGTGGTCAATTTCACCTTGATTGGGATGTATAAAGGAAAGGTGCACAGGACCTGGTGTGCGCCTGGTTTTATGCATGTGGAAATTTGTTTGCATACATACTTTTCAAGTTTTGCGACTACACCTCCTTTCAGTATGAAAACCTTGCAGTCTTTTATACATGAGTCAGTTCGTTATGACAAAGGTTCCGAGACTTCTGACAATATCCTATTTGGCATTTGCTGCACAAAAGCATTTTAAGTTTTGAGACACACTGTTCTTTTATTAAGTCATAGCCCTCTAACACCCAAATGTTTGCTCAGCTCAGTGATGTTTTCAAAGCTAACATTATGTGTAACACTACTTGAGTGAACACTTGGATTACATTTTGTGATTTTGAGTTATTGAGTTATAGCAAAATAAGTACACATTGGTTCTTTCTCTTCTTACCTCTTTTTCAGGTTATCGTAATTGTCTTCCTCACCGGATCACTCTCTCTTGTTACTGTTGTTGGCAACATCCTAGTGTTGCTGTCATTCAAGATCAATAAGGCACTGAAGACAGTGAACAACTACTACCTGCTTAGTCTAGCATTTGCTGACCTGACCATTGGCACACTGTCAATGAACCTGTATACCACCTACATCATAATGGACCAGTGGGCTCTGGGGCCAGTGGTCTGTGACTTGTGGCTTGCAATAGACTACGTGGCCAGTAACGCCTCAGTCATGAATCTGCTTGTTATCAGCTTTGACAGGTAGCAGAAAATGATTTATTAGAATTTGTGTTGATAAGTTAAAAATGCCTAAATCATATATTGTTGATATTACCTTCATGAAAAACCTATATAATAAAGGGTTTATAATATGAGGTTATTCTGATTACTTAGAAAAGGTACATTTTCAAATGAATTTTCGCATTGAATGGCTCAGAGTGTCCAAATCACAAAAAACATACATTTCCATGTGGTATCATTATGGCCTCATGTCAAAAGCCATCGGAAACAGGACGTATTTAAAGTCCCTTGTGTAGAATCTTCTAAAAATACTGTTAGTGGTAATATCAAGAAGACTGGGTTGCAAGAAAGACAATGTTGTAGACAGTAATGCATGGCACAGTTACAGGTAAACAGTTTGTGTACAGTTGCCTACTTTCTTTATGTGCTTCTTAGGTATTTCTCTGTGACCAGACCTTTGACCTACCGGGCCAAGCGTACAACCAAGCGGGCCATGACCATGATTGGATTAGCCTGGTCCATCTCTTTTATTCTCTGGGCACCAGCCATCCTGTTCTGGCAGTATATTGTGGGTGAGCGGACAGTCCAGCCTAATGAGTGCTACATCCAGTTCCTGTCCGAACCCATCATTACATTCTGCACTGCTATTGCTGCATTCTATTTGCCAGTAACCATTATGGCAATTTTGTTTTGGAAGATCTATCAGGAGACAGAGAAGCGTGCTAAAGATATACAATGTCTCAAGGGATCTGGGTCAGGCAACAGCCCAAGCCTGGCTCAGAATCAAGGAAGTGGTAGTGGAAGAGCTGGTGGACTAGGAGTGAGTAACAGCCAGAAGGATTCGTCAGCTATGCAACGCCAAATGAGCTCCCAAAGCTGCAGCAGCTGTGAACTAAATCAGGTGGCTTCAGAGAAGAACAACAATGACAATGCCAGCATACCAGGAGGAATGAGAAGCAGAGGGACGTGTGGCGGGTTCTACTTCCAGTTTTTATCACTGTTGCCATCCAAGAGGTCCATCAAAATGACAACTACAGTGAGCGAGGCAGAGCAGAGCAGCTGTGACAGCTTGAACAACAATGAAGGTGGCGCCTTTGAGGACCAGTCAGGTTTAGAGGAGGAAGCTGACAGTTCAGGACCACCCAGCCCTCCTATAGGTTGGATATAAGTGCTCTTGTTTTCATTATATGTAAAAAGAATACAAATAATTACTAATCTTTCTGTCTGTCTGTCTCTCTAGATGATAAGAAACTTAGAAAGGTGAAGAAAAACAAGGACAAGCAAACATCATCATCCAACAAAAGTAGAAAAGGGTCACAGTCAAACCCTGTCACCTCATCACTTGCTGACCAATCATCTGCAGCCATCACTATAAAAGATGCGGCGATGGCCAAACGCTTTGCCTCTAAGGCCAAGACAGAGATCAACAAGCGCAAGAATGAAAAAAAGGCCAATGAGAAGAAAGCAGCACGGACACTGAGTGCCATCCTGTTTGCCTTCATTACAACGTGGTTACCATACAACATCATGGTGCTGGTCAACACCTTCTGTCAGGACTGTATTCCAGAAACTCTATGGGCACTGGGCTACTGGTTGTGTTATGTTAACAGCACAGTCAACCCCATGTGCTATGCCCTGTGTAACAAGACCTTCCGCATGACTTTCAGGGATATTTTGATGTGCCAGTGGAATCAAAAGAAGAACAAGCCTCATTTTCATCAGCGGAAGGCTGTGGCTTTCAAGAAAAAAGACCAAATGTAGAATACAGTGGCAAAATTATTGGAATGATCTGTGTTTAAAGATACATTTGCTGATCTACATTTAGAGTTTGAATGTGAGTGAAAGAGAGGAAAGATCATGAAATGAATTCTATATTCTATAAAAAACATTTAGCCTTACAGGAAGTTTTGCCAAGCAAGTAGAGAGGCCAAAGGCTAGTCTATTTGTCTGTCCATGATATATTGACAGCTACTAGCCATATATAGAATCCTACACCAGGTTAGGTAGCTGTGGGAACCTTATATGTATCTATTTTTAACATCTAAACAGCTTAATATTATCAAGCCTAATCATCTGCCAGAATTGTTTGTTTTTTTTGTGTGTGAAAGCCACAAGCTCACACATCCTCTCTGAGAAAACATGCAGCTACAGCAGGAGCACAGGTGCTGTGCCAGTTGACAAAAACTTTTACAATACCACAATTTTAAAACTGTCAAAACAATGTGGCCTCTAGTCTGGCACCAGCATAAAAGTTCAAGATGTGAGCAGCCGGATTAAAAAAGTGATATAATAATAGATTGGGAGGAAGTCACAATGCATCATTTCTAATATCTTTGCATTGGTAAAATCCAAATTATTCATATACAATGATTAGTAAAGGCCTTTCTTATATAGAAATGTAAGCATAACATTTTAGATTTATATTGATTCCTCCTGTCTAAACTGTTTCTCCAGCTGCTTAAAGTCCATATGAAATGATAATTGCATTTTAACCTTTAAGATTACATCCTCAGTTGTAAACCTAACAATTTATGCCAAAAAAATGAAAGAAGAATCAATTTCTTTGTATTCTTATATCAAAATGCATTAAGTTTGTCTTCCTGTCGAACAAAAGATTATGTGTTCTTACATAAGCGTGAACCAACCAATTTCAACCAATAATATCATGACAATGGGGCACACAGTAGTCTGGTAGAGTGTATTGGCTAGTTCTTTCCACAGTGGGTGGCCCAGGTTTGATTCCAGCCTTTGCTGCATTTCGGAAGGCTGATTAGGCCATGCTGTTCACTGGGAACTCCCAATCTGGCACAGCCTGCTAATAGGACCGCCATAACTGAATGGCAGGGGCAAGTAACACACAGTCACTATAATTCACCGTGATTCAAGTTCCTCCCTTGTGCCATGTTTTGACAGGAAACACGTAAATATGTGGAAGCAAATAACACTGTGCTTTCATGTGGAAGAACCAAAGAAATGAAATCAAACTATCTGTACCATATTAAATTGCATGGCATCATATCACTTTGCATCACATTGAATTGCGTTGAATCACAGTGGGTTGAATCAAATCGTTGTGAATCACACTGCATTGCAATGGGGTGAATTTTATCATATCACATTAGTAGTAGCAGTTTCTTTATATGTATCTTTAATGTATCAGATAATTGGCAATGCATCAAGAACCATATCACACTGGCCTGAGTGATGCACATACCTACCAATTACTGATTAGCCTTGAAAAATAGCAAAATTATCAGTACGTATTTTGTTTTTTTTACATTTTCCTGGGTGTAATGAATCCATGCAAGCCTTGTAGAGTGATTAGCTTGGCTTTATATTTATTTTCAGTTACAAATTTAAGCATAGATGTATGTAATTATTTTCTGCTCTATAGAATAGAATAGAATAGAATAATGCAATTGTAATTTAGTGTAGTTAAGCAAGTACACTTCTTGAATCCCTTGTGGGATTATGTGTCAAAATAAAAGCAACCCAACTTTTGTTGGTTTTTAATACAGTTGAGAGCTTAGTTTATGCATGGCAGTTTTGGTTTTCAATGTTACTTTTTTTTTTATTTTAAAGATTTTAAGTAGGGTATTTTCTGCATTTAGTCAAAATAAATAAGAAAAGAAAAAAGACTTCTGAAAACAATGTGTGCCAAGAGTTCCCAGTAAAAAAGCATTACCACTTAACACTTTTGGTAATGGCATTGTAATTAGTGAACTAGGCATAACTTTATTTTTTATACAAATACATTGTATATTATTTAATGCTGACTAAATCAAATCGATTTCCAGTTTACTATCTATTGAAACTTCTGAAATAACAAGTAAACATTATCCAGCTTTTATTAGTTTCTTAATTTTCATTCTGTGTGTCCATGAACAGCACAACCAGAAATACTATGAGTCTGCATTTTGGCCTTTTTATGAACACAGTTTGTTATTCTGGTTTGTGCAGTTTATTTTGTTATATATATTTTTTTCCCTCCCTGTTTGCATACTCAAAACTCTGTTCGACTTAAAAGGGACACAGTGTGCCCGTGTCCCTTTTTAATATCAGAGTGGTCAACTTTGAAATGACTATGACTAAACATTAACAAAGGAATTTATAAATAAGTTGTATTCTGGTTGAGTTGTGTTCAGGGTGAGTGATTTGACTAAAAAAGTAAAAACTGTATGCTTTTCTACAAACCCATGAACATGCTGTGCTGTCTCTCTGTGTATCCAGTAATAACTGTTTAAAAAAAGCCCTGTATGTTTGATTTTACAGTAGTTAGTTGAATTGATGAAAGAGATACTGCAATAGTACAGAAGTATATTGCATTACTTAAAAAAAAAAAAAAAATCTACTCTGTTTTTCTGAATTAAGAACTTATTAACTCGTAACTCATGTGTCAGCTGAAAACAGACATTAGCTGTGGGTTCATGAAGCCTAATGTTACTCTACACATCTGTGGTTTATCAGTGAAAGCAGTTTTTCCTTGCCCCTGTCGCCAAGTGCTTGCTCATGGTGGTACTGTTGGGTATCTGTAAATAATGTTATAAGGAGTTCGGTCTAGACCTGCTTTATTTGAAAAGTGTCCTGAGATAACTTCTGTTATGAATTGGCGCTATACAAATAAAATGTAGTTGAATTAAATTGAATTGAAGTGTAAGGATTTGTAGACTTGAGTCTCTGCTGACAATGATAGACTGACAGATAGATCCATGTGTCTCCTCTATGAAATGTCTGTATCCTCACTGCAATGCATTATTATAAACTTTGATCAACTGGTGTGGGATTTACACAGATTTTTTTTTTTTTATTGTCACTAACTTCTCTCATAAACCACAGAAGTGTAGAGCAACATTAGGCTTCATGAGCCCATAGTCGAGTGCCTGTTCATGTATCATTGGCACGGACGAACACCTCTCTCCCTTTTCTGGTTCTCCAGCGGGGTATCAGTGTTTGAAGGATAGGCAACACAGAGACCTGCATGGGCCCGCTGGAGCTTGCAGGTAGCAGAACATAGGATTTTGGTTAGGCTCAGGGGCATGGAGAGTGTGCTGGAGGTATCTTGTTAATTCAGGGGGAAAAAATTTTATTATAAGACAACACGACGTTAATTTAGATTTTTTTTTTTTTACAGTGAATACAATATGTATGTATGTATGTGCAATAGAAACCGCAAGGTTTCCTGCTTAAACACATGTTTAATTTAGCACTCTCTTACACACTTACTAACTGGACCCAACTGTTGCCAGATGAAATGGGGCTATCCTTTCAATAAATTAAAATCAAACACTACAGAACACAGCATCGTTTCTGATCCGCCTATGCTGTTTTCCACTTACAATATGAGTATATTTTTTAAAGAGTCACTGTTCAATTCAATTCAGTTCAATTCAATTTTATTTGTGTAGCGCCAATTCATAACAGAAGTTATCTCAGGATGCTTTTCAAATAGAGCAGGTCTAGACAGATCTCCTTATAACATTATTATCTGAAATAATATATATATAGTTTTGAAATACTCTGCACTTGCGTGTTAACTAATGTGTAAAGGTTCCCTGTGGAGTTTTAGACCCTAGTAACTCAAAATATTAGATGAATGAGTCCCATTTATTTCGCTCATGCGCGCAAGGACGCAAATGCAGGTGACACAGTTTTCCTTATGGTGTTGCACTATCCAACTAACAGGTGGCGGGAACATGTCAAGATATGCTGCAATGCACCAGCAAAGACAGCAATGAAGATGGCTTGCTAGTAAACATGGATGCACAATTTAGGATATAAAATACTATAAAAAGTATTTTATATTCTATATATTTAGTACATTTTGCAAAGAGTTTGTTAGAGCTCAAGGACACACAATGCATTTTGGTGAGTAACACTGAATGCAAACATTGCACCACAGTACATGTGTCCACTTCAACTCTGTACACAAAATGTTTTGCATTGATGTTAGACATGTTTATATGCGTTCAAGAGCAATAAAATGAAATAACATTTTAACATATTAACCCATGATTGCTGAAATTGTGTGAAAAGGCAAATTCAATTCAATTCAATTTTATTTGTATAGCGCCAATTCATAACAGAAGTTTTCTCAGGACACTTCTCAAATAGAGCATGTCTAGACCGAACTCCTTATAACATTATTTACAGAGACCCAACAGTGCCACCATGAGCAAGCACTTGGCGACGGGGGCAAGGAAAAACTGCCTTTTTAAGAGGCAGAAACCTACGGCTCTAGGTGGGTGGTCGTCTGCCTCGACCAGTTGGAGTGTGAGAGAGAGAGAGAGAGAGAGAGAGAGAGAGATACAGAGAGACAGACAGACAGACGCACAGCAACAACAGTAGCAACAACTACACTAATAGTAGTGACTGATGATGATGAACATGAAGAAGATGATGACGACGACGACGACGACGACAACAACAATGGGGGACAATGAGCAGTGACAAAAATAATAATAGTAACTGTAGTAATAATAATAGTAATAATAATAATAACAATTAAAGCTGCAAGCAGCGATGGATGGGACCTTGCACTCGGGCGTGCTGCGGCCGCGTCACGTGCCGTCGTAACACGTGCGAACCACGACATGACAATCTCACGTAAATCAGCTCAAAATCGCCACACAGCACTTACTTCCTGTTTCCACTAGGTGGCGCTCTGACTATTACCAAATATTATCACATAGACGTGTTCAGGGCGGGACTCGAACATGTGAAGTTTCATTGCAGTCGGATCATGTACGCAGAAGTTATGGCGAATCCCTCTTTCATGGCGAAGGTTTGAAATTGGATGCCACGGGATGCCACGCCACGGGCACAATGTTGGACAAAAAAAACTGACTACACTGACCAATTTTTGAAGTAGATCCAATAGAACCTGTAGGAGGAGTTAGTTAAAATAGAAGCCCTGAAATACCAAAAATGACATCACAGTATGACATTCGTTCAAAATGGCCAACTTTGACGGCACGCCACAGACACGCCCTTCAACGTACAGTCATAAATAGCACAACTTGTAATCAGCAACATTATTCAAGAGTACTGTAAAGTTTTGAAGCAGATCTCATAAATTCCCTAGGAGTTTGTTTGTTCAAATACAAGACCACAGACTTCAAAATGGCCAACTTTGACGGCATGCCACGGACACGCCCTTCAACGTACAGTGAAAAAATGAACAGCATTCATTCAGCACCATTTTGTGACTGTACTGACCAATTTTGAAGCAGATCCCAGAAATTCCCTAGGAGGAGTTCGTTCAAATGCAAGGCGAAAATTCACCGAAAATGACCACGGACTTAAAAATGGCCAACTCTGACGGCACGCCACGGACACGCCCTTCAACGTACAGTTACAAATTGAACAGCGTTCATTCAGCACCATGTTTTGACTGTACTGACCAATTTCGAAGCAGATCCGATAAATTCCCTAGGAGGAGTTCGTTCAAATACAAGCCCAAAAAGTCAAAATGACCACAAAATGATGAAAATTAAAAATGAAAATTGCAGACTTCCTGTGGGTTTTGGGGCATGGGTCCAAGAGGCTTTTCAGCTTCTTTTATCATGATACACATGGGTAGCAATTTTCGTACATGTGGGCCTTACGTGTCTTGGGGGCTGATTCTGGGGGGCGTGGCTTAGACGTTTGGCGGCGCCCGTGCACGGGTACAATGTCATATCGATATTTTTGCTACGTTTGAATTTTGTGCAAATTTTCATTCCATTTTGAGCATGTTGTGGGGGCTAAATATGCGGTTGAACTTCCAAAGGTATAATAATAATAATTCCTAGAGGAACAATAGGGTCTTGCACTTTCAGTGCTCGATCCCTAATAATAATTTTAACAGGAACAATAGGGTCTTGCACTTGTCAGTGCTCGATCCCTAATAATATCAGTGATATTAGCAATTGCAGTCAAGCAGGACCATGGCAGGAGGCTCCACCAGGATCCATGAGAACCTGCAAGACGAGAAAGCACAAGAACTCCGGGGAAGAACTGAAGTTAATAACATGCATTAATAGGACATGAATGTGTGCAGAAAGAGAGGAAGAGAGGAGCTCAGTGCATCATGGGAAATCCCCCGATAGTCTAGGCCTATAGCAGCATAACTAAGGTATGGTTCAGGACTCACCAGAGCCAGCCCTAACCATAAGCTTTATCAGAGAGGAACATCTTAAGCCTACTCTTGAATGTGGAGAGGGTGTCTGCCTCCCGAACCACAACTGGAAGCTGGTTCCACAGGATAGGATCTTGGTAACTGAAGGCTCTGGCTCCTGTTCTACTTTTAGAGACTATAGGAACCACAAGTAGCCCTGCATTACGAGAACGCAGTGTTCTAGAGGGGTAATAGGGTGCTATGAGCTCTTTAAGATATGAAGGGGCCTGACCATGAAGAGCTTTGTAGGTGAGGAGGAGGATTTTAAATTCTATTCTAAATTTTACAGGGAGCCAGTGCAGAGAAGCTAATACAGGAGAGATGTGATCTCTTTTCCTCGTTCTGAATTAATTGGAGCGTTTTAATGGACTTTTTGGGACAGCCTGATAATAAAGAGTTGCAGTAATCCAGCCTAGAAGTAACAAATGCATGGATTAATTTTTCCTGCATCCGTCTGTGACAGGATGTGTCCAATTTTTAAAATATCATGTAAATGAAAGAAGGCAGTCCTAGAGGTTTGCTTTATATGGGAATTAAATGACACACTGTTAAAAGGGATTTGGGCTTTTAGTCAGAAAGACTATTGTTGTCAAGCTGAGGGAACTCATTGACCATTACAACAAAGTAAGAAGAGTTACAACAACTTCAATTTGAAAAAAGCGCGGAAACTCATTAAAAACTCATAATAATCCGTTCAGTTCACTTCAGAAAATAGGTCAAGGTGGGCATTTCAACCAACACGCATGCGCACGCAATATGACGTCACGCGCAATGTTGAAATCTGAAAATCCGAGCCGACCGCCATCTTTTTCCCTCGGAGCCGAGCCGTCCAAGTAAGTACGTTAAAAATTGTTTTAGTTTAGTTAGTTCTTCTGTTGGTAATGTGCATTGGCCATCTAATGTCTCTCCGTCTCAAATGATTCGTCAACTTAACCTGTGATGAATATTTTATGTTTGTTCGTTTTTCGGAAATACGTTAGCATGTAGCGCTAGCTGGCTAGCGCCGCCGGAGTGTCACAGCAAGTATTTAATGTAACGTTAGGGTTGAGCCTCATATTCGACTGTAACAAGTATTCGGCACCGATAATATATTCTCATACGAGTGAAACAGTGCGACACCTGTCCTCATTATTATGGAAAAATGTGTGAACAGTGGGAACATTTTACCCGGGTCAACCCGCCAATTTAACGTTACGTGACGTAGCGGCTCGTACACGAAGCTTTGCTCGCACTCAATCAACCTGGTACAGCGAGATAACAGAGCAACTCATGGTCCGTGAGGAAGAGGAGTGGAAAAAACATTGACCACCGCCGTAGTGTATGGACTATATTTTTTGTGTAGAGTTAGATGCTGTATATGATAACGTAGGTGATTGTTTTCATGTGCGTAGTGATATGTGTGCCGTTCCACTCTGTATCCATGGCAACGCGCAACAGTGGGGGTGAACAGCCACGCAGGCCGCCAGCTGGAGATCAGACGTAGGTTTTTTGGCCAGTGGGAAAGGAGTCCTATGCCGTTTGAAAGCGGGTCGACCCGCGTTTAAAAAAATAAAAAATAAAAGTATTTGATACTACATGAAAAATACTAATGCAATCAAATCAATTTTGCTGATAACGGTTGTTTATGTTTTTTTTCTTTCTTTGTTTTTTCTGTACAGGGTTACTTCACAAAGTGTAGGCTGTGCTGTTTGGGGCAACTGCCCCTCAATGAGGTGGTCCTGCAAGTGTTGCAATTTCTCCTCGCCGAACCAACGTACACTAATTGTCCATTATAAACTTAAGCACTGTCATCAGGCAAGGAACTGTCCTCTTCCCTGTGTCTATGCAGACTGTGTGTGCTCCTTCAGGACAGAATCATCTCTGAAAAAACATTTAACTAGAGACCATAGTCAATCCCGTTCAAAGCAGGTGACTGCAAGGTTAAATTGTGAACTGTGTAATTTTTCAGAGACTTGTAGTGATACACAGTATTTTGCACATTTGAAAATACACATACACAATAAGGAAACTGTTAAATGTCCCTTTAAAGACTGTAGTTTTCAGTCAAGTGTGTACAGTACTTTTCGTGCACATAAGAGTAAGAAACATCACCTCTGTACCGTTGACAATTTTCGAGAAAACCTGTTTCAAACTTTTATTCAAGGCACTTCAAACTCTGAAAGTACAGACTTTGAGACACATTCAGACGATCTAGACTTAACAGATGATTTCATAGAGGATCAAGACCTGCATGATTTACTTCAACACAAAGTTGCATCTCTCTTACTGCGTATGCAAACAACTTTGCATGTGTCTAAAACAACAACTCAAGAAATAATAAATGAGCTTTGTAGTATTAGCTCAGTTGTAGAAGAGTGCACATCAAAAATAATTGAAAGTGTACTGATCAAGCATAATTGTGCAGTAAACAGTGCAGTCACTGCTGCTATAACAGAGATAGTTAAAAAAGTAAACCCCCTAAGTTTCTTGTCGAAAGATGGGCCTTTTGGCTCTGAATACAAAAGAGCAACTTTTTACAAGAAACATTTTTAAGTGATTGAGCCGATTGAATATGTTTTAGATCCATCTTCAAGACGGAAATTTGTTTATATTCCGGTTTTGAAAGTCCTGACAGAGCTGTTAAATCGTAATGACGTGTTAGATAAAGTCTTGGAGACAGGACATATTGAAACAGTTGAACACTTGTCTCAGTACAAAACATACAGAGACGGTCTATATTACAAAGACAATACTTTGCTCTCGTCAGAAGATCTTAGCATTGCCCTAGGACTGTATATAGACGACTTTGAAGTTTGCAACCCACTAGGAACATCAAAAAAAAAAGCACAAGGTCTGTGCAGTCTATTGGGTGATTTCAAATTTACCTATACGATATAGATCATCTGTACAGTCAATCTACCTCGCATGTCTGTGTCATAGCAATGATGTGAAGAAATATGGGTATGGAGCCATTCTTGAACCACTGATAAAAGACCTTGAAGTACTTGAGCAGCAAGGATTGTATGTTCAGAAATTGGGAACAACTGTTAGAGGTACTGTGCTGTATATGTCTGCAGACAACTTGGGGGCCCACTCACTTGCTGGGTTTCATGAGAGTTTTAATGTCGACAAATTTTGCCGGTTTTGTTTAGCTAGTCGACAAGATATTGACATTCACGAGGTAAAGGAGAGCGTATTTCCACTCCGGACAGTTGAAGCTCACAAACAGGACCTTCTGGAATTAAACAGACATCAGTTAGTTTCTGTGAATGGAGTAAAGAGTGACTGTGTTCTCGATAGACTTTCTCATTTCCACACAATCCAGGGCTTCCCCCCAGATTTTATGCATGACCTTTTTGAAGGAATAGTGCCACGGGAATTAAGTCTATGCATAAAGTCTCTGATATCCAAACAGTACTTTACAATAGATGAGCTGAATTCCATCATTGAATCCTTCCCTTTCAAGTTTACAGATAAAACCAACAGACCTCATCCAATTTCAAAGTCTTTTGCATCGAAAAAATCTATCGGTGGGAATTGCCACGAAAACTGGACACTATTGAGACTTCTGCCGTTGATGATCGGTCACATCATACCAGAAGATGACAAAACTTGGGGGATTCTATTAGATTTGAAAGAAATAGTAGAGCTTCTGGCTAGTGGACATTTTTCAGAAGAGACATTGGCATACTTGGAGTGTAAAATCTCCGATCACAGGTGCCTATTAAAAGAGGTGTTTCCTGATATCCACCTCCTGCCCAAGCACCACTTCTTGGAACATTATCCTGAACTGATTCGGAGATTTGGTCCCCTGGTTGATTTCTGGACCATTAGATTTGAAGCTAAGCACAGCTTCTTTAAAAGGGTGGTGCATGATTCTCACAATTTCAGAAACATCTTGCTCACTCTATCAACAAAACACCAGCTTACTTTAGCTTACCATCTAGACTTGCCAAGTCTTTTCAGACCTGATCTGGAAGTTGGACACACTGCAGTTGTTTCACCTGATGCGCTCGAGCACTCCATGAGGCGGGCTGTAGAGCTGAAATATGGAAACATAAGTCTTGTGTCTCTTGCAACCCATGCCTGCCTTTATGGCACAAAGTATTCAGAGGGTATGTTTCTGTCTGTGGGGCACACCAGTGGCATCCCTGACTTTGGGAAGCTGGTTAAAATTGTAGTTGTTTCCAGCAAAGTGTCTTTCATCATAGAACCATATCATGTATGGTACATGGAGCACCTGCGGAGTTATGAGTTGATGAAAAAACAGTCTTCTGAACTGCTGATTGTGGAATTACACGAACTAAATGGATATCAGCCCCTGTATCCATACACAAAAGGAGGCAAACTGATGGTGACACCAAAAGTTTTTTGCTTCATTAAGGTATAGTTGAGCTGTTATTTTACTTTAAATGGTGTGTTCCTCTCCTTCATCTGAAAGACATATGCAGTATGTTCATAAACGTAAAAACGGGTTTTAAACAGAATAAAATGTGTATGAATGTTCATGTTTATTAACGTTTCTTTATTGTTGATTTTGTCTTTTCTTACATTCTTTTTTTCTTCATCTCCAGAGACGTCCAGAGAGAGAGAGACATTCTCAGTCACAAGAAGATGCTGTTGCGTGTCATAATTTCAGCACAGGACATTAGAAAGCTCCGCTTGGACTCTGTTCCAGATTCGGTTGACGGCCTGAAACTGGTGTTGAAAAACAAACTGCACTTATGCTCTTCATTTGAGCTTCAATATGAAGATGAGGATTTCAAAGACTTCTGTAACCTCACGTGTGTTGACGATCTACCAAAGGAGAAGGTGACATTGCGAGTCGTTTTCTGCCCTGTCTCTTCAGACTCAAGTTTGGACACTTTTAGCTCTGCTGTACCATCATCTCCGGCAGCATCCTCTTCAACTTATTCATCATCTCCGACGACATCCTCTTCATTGAGCATCCAAACAGAGGGCTTTGCAGGTCGGCGTTCACAGCAATGGCCAGCGCATTTTCCCATTCCCACCTTCTCATATGATGTTGAGCTGAGGCTCAGGCAGGGCAATGAAGCTTTTAGAGAAAGTGGAGCACTTCTATCCATTTCAAGGGACATGAAGTCTGAGATTCTGCTCAAACTTGCTGAAACAATATATTCATTCATGACCTACCCTACACTTGAACATTTTGGATGTGTAGCCAAGGCACTTGTTGAAAAACACCCTTGCCTTACAGAACCTGGCTCCACATCTGGATGGTATGGATGGAAACACAGCATAAAGTTCAAGATGGGCAATTACAGACAGAAATTGAAAGGTGTGGGCTGCCGAGAACTGGAGGTTAATTCTGAGAAAAGAGGTGCTGGGGACACGCGAGGGAAGAGAAACAAAGTAAAGAAACCTAGACGGTCTGAAACAAATTTTCTTCCAGATCTCCCCCCAGGGAAGAGACAGTAGAAGTCTTGAAGAAGATAGAGAAAAGATGGTCCAGGAGATGAGAAAAACAACCCCAAACCTGGCCTACATCGATGATGCAATGAATGCCACATACGCACTGAGAAGACAGGAGATTGTTGAAGAGGAGCCACCTGTGGCCGAAATGAAAGTCAGATGGCCTGCCCTTTTTACTGAAAGACAGGTAAAATGTGTACATTTTTTCTTAGTCATAGCAAAGTAGTAATGTTGTATTGTGTATATTGCTGGGCTCTATGCTAACATTCCTCCCATGGAGCACATGTGCTCCTAAAGTGAAATATTTGGGAGTAAAATTAAAAATTGTGTAAGTAACATATTTATGTAACCCTTAAATAAAGTTGAGGGTCAAACGTGACCCATTTTTACATTTGATAACAGTAAAAACACCCTCAACAATTCACCTTATACCTGTAATTTGATGGCTTCTGATGTGACCCAGAATATACAAACATGGAAATATTTCATCTTTTTTAATCAACAGACGCAAGCAATAACTTGCTCTATGTTATGACTTACACAATATTTGACACAATAAACACAAATTGATCGTTCCTGTAGGCCACTCCTATATATTATATTAAATAATGCTTGAACTGATATGAATTACATATTTTTATTTAACTACCTGAATCATAGTACATACTGATTTGTTAAACTTACAGCCTTGTTACTTAGCATGTATGAATTATCATGACAATATAACAAAGCACTGACATATCAGTCTGATGTAAAAATTAATAAAACTCAATAACCTGTCACACAAGCCAATCTGCAAGTCCGAAGACACAGATCGTTGAGGTTGAAGTTAATATTAATGAAATATGCACCTTAAGACAGGTCTCCACTGTACGTCACATGTCTGACAACATGTCAGTTGTAGTGCTGAAATGTGAAAATAAAGGTGACTTTTAACTTGAACTAAAACTGTAATGTTACTTCTCCACATAGATCGTCAAGGAATTCACCAGGCTCATGTCAATGGACATCAATAAGTTCTATGACGGTCTGGACAGCCATCTGCATAAACTTCTTCAGTTATACCGGTTGAAGCGCTTCGAGGAAGTTCAAGAAATGACATCATTAATGGAGAGTCTCGACAAGGATGTGAGTGCATATTTGTTGTAGTTGTGGTCCACATTAATTGTGCAACCCCACTGAGGAGAGGGACCAGGATGTAGATTATGACAGACAGTAAACCTCCTCTAATTAATGTGCTTAGATAGGCACTTTGATACAGACTGAATGAATAAGAAAATGAAACAACATAGCTGGCTCTGTAAGATGGAGGGGATGGAGAGAAACTCTGGGTTTGTTGAATAATATTTGCCAGTGTGAAGGTCAGAGTTACCTCTCTTGAACTGAAAGCTCAGTTTCCATCATTTAAGGGTTGACAAAAATCAGAGTTCTGATATCAACTGAATTCACGTATCATGTTTTTGCAGGCATCAAACCAAAGGAAGAGAGCAGCAGCTTTGCAGGGACTGCCATGGTACATGAAGGAAAATCCTTCTACATTGATGAAGAGATGTGAGGTAAGCAGCAAAGTGTTGTTCAATGATACAAAAACTAGTTCACAATGGGCAGGGTTACACATATAATTTCAGGCATCCTCTGTGTGGATACACTATATAGCAAAACATGTCTAAAGCACAGGCACCTTTTTGTTTTATGTTTGTTTTTGCATGAAGCCAACAGATCCTGGGGAGGACGTCATCGAGGGAATGGTGATTGGAATCCTTTTGGTCGTTGAAGATGTGAAGGAGCCCCTTCCAGTTTCCTACTACGATGTTGCCATCGTCATCGAGGAAAAGATTGTCATGCGTCATCTGGGTGATGTACCCAACGCTTTTGTGAACCTGATGGGCCTGCTGTACATGCTGAACCTTGACTATCCAAAAGATTTGAAATATACTTTTGAGGTGATTCAGCGCCTGTTCATGGGAATCGGGTCCGAGATGTGCACTCCTAGGGTCCACTCTCTAAAGAATAAACTGCTCAGTTAGAGGGATGGCTCAGGAGGATGTTTCTGCATTTGGCCCTGAGGAAGTGTTCTCATTTTTTTGCCATTTGTCCATTGCACTATGTAGTAAGAGGAAAAGAAATATAAAGCCCTTCTGTGGGTCACAGTTTTTTATGTTTTCATGTTCTAACAGATCTCTATTGCTCTCTGTGGAGGAAATGTCTCTTGCAGACACTAATTTGTATTTTATATTGTAGAGCAAACATATGAACAGAGTGGAGGAAGTTTCTCAGAGAGATACAATTTTATATGTATATCTTTCTGCATTTTACTGCAACAATGCTGAACACTCACTTAGAATGGATCAAGATGTAGATGTTGATCAAGTCACTTAGAGAGTTGTTTTTTTTTTCCCCCTCAAAGGAAGGATGCTCTTTTTTTTTTTTTTTTCTTACAAGCGGGACACAGTGTAATTCAGTTTTTGACCAGACCTTAAAGAGTCTGAAGAGCATAGATGTTTAAGAGGGTGTGAAAGCTTTTTTTGTCTGCATGTCCCAGAGGAAGAATTCTCATTTTTTACACTATTTAGTAAGAGGAGATGAAATGTATTGCCCTTCTGTTGGTCACACAACCTTGTTTTCATATTCTGACTCATTTCTATTGCTCTGTTTTGAGGAACACTAATCCATGTGATGTTACAGAGAAATTGTCAAGAGAGTGGACATTTCAGTAATGTTTTAATGTTTTCATTTTCAACATTTTGATCAACTTTCTCAGATACGTTTTTTTAGTTTTTTATGAATTTCTTTCTGCAATTTACTGCAGCAACTCTGAACATTCACTCAGAATGGACTCAGTTGAACTCGGAGAGTTATTGTTTTTCCCCAAAGGAAGGGTGCTCTTCTTTTTATGTATTATATTATTATTTATGTGTGGGACAGTGTAATTTCAGTTTGTGAGCAGCCCCAAGCAAAAGTGTGTTAGAGGGTGAAAAGGCTATTTATTTTAACATGTCCCAAGGAAGATTTTATTTTTATTTTTTTGCGTCTCGACATCCATTGACTATTATTTTGAAGCAAGGCTGGTTGAAGTTGGACTTGTTGGGGTTTTAATAAAGGTCCTTATTGAATTGTCTTTTCAGCTATTTTTTTCATGTGTTAACATTTAAGTTTGACTGGCTAATTTCTGTAAACTCAAGTAATAGAGCATGAGAAAAAAATAATGTTTCCCTAACTTGATAAAATAAGTTCAACCAACATCTTTTTTATTTCTCTTAAGTAATGTTTTCCAGTCCACATTACTTGATACAGAAAATTGAGTCAACAAATCGCGAGTTGTATCAATTATGTATTCCATGTTGAGCCAACTTGATTCACAGTTGTAGGAACTTGATAAAATAAATTCAACCAACATCTCTTAAAGTTATCTCAAAAAATATTTTCAAGTCCAACTTACTTGATACAGGAAGTTGAGTCAACAGATTGCATGTTGCATCAACTCGTGTTTTGAAGTGTAATAAACTTGACACTATAAGTTGACTCAAATTAACTCAGTCAAAGCAACAAGATGACTTGACTTAGTTAAGTTGAGTCAACTAATCTTTTTTTACAGTGCATGTCCTGATCAAAGATAACTCCAAGATTCCTGACAGTGGTGCTAGAGGCCAAGGTAATGCCATCTAGAGTGACTATATCTTTAGACAGTGAGTCTCTAAGGTTTTTGGGGCCAAGAACAAGAATTTAGTTTTTTTCTGAGTTTAACATCAGAAAATTGCAGCTCATCCAGGATTTTATGTCATTAAGACATGTTTGTAATTTAGATAATTGATTAATTTCATCGGGCTTGATCGATGGATATAACTGTGTATCATCTGCATAGCAATGAAAGTTAATGGAGTGATTCCTAATAATGCTGCCTAAAGGAAGCATATATAAAGTAAATAGTATTGGTCCAAGTACAGAACCTTGTGGAACTGTAGTATTTATGGAAGATTCATCGTTAACATGTACAAACTGAGAACGATCTGATAAGTATGACCTAAACCTAAATGCTCAAGTCTCTGTTAAAGAATATCATGGTCAATGGTGTCAAATGCAGCACTAAGATCTAATAATACAAGTACAGAGACAAGTCCATTGTCAGAAGCAATCAAAAGGTCATTAACTTTAACCAGAGCTGTCTCTGTGCTGTGATGAACTCTAAATCCTGACTGAAAATCCTCAAATAAGCTATTCTTATGTAGAAAGTCACACAACTGTTTGGCGACTACTTTCTTCAGAATCTTGGAAAGGAAGGGGAGGTTAGAAAACCGTCGAATGTGGCATGTAGTGTAAAAGCCCTTTGAGTGGTCGGAAGACTAGAAAGGCAATATACAAGTACAGGTCCATTACCATTTATATTTATATTAGCACCATGAGAAACATGTCCTATGTGGAAATGACAGTAAACAAGCTTGAATCTTAAACCTTTTTGTAATTGGCTCACAAATAGCCAATTTAAATGGTTCACCTTTATTTTTTATGAAGAAGGCGTATTATGGGTTAGTTAAATGTTAAGTAGAGGTAATTTTTTACTTTTGAGAGCCAGTATCCTGCAGTGACATCGAGCTGCATGATGCTTTAATGGAGTCTTTTCCAAACATAGCACTATGGGTAATGTAGGCATGAGTCTATTCTATCTATGCAGTCCCAGCATATTCATTCCTCTCAGATTTTTGTCACCCTTTTTGCAGCAGGCTAAGCTTTGTGTCCCCATCCCAGTTGCTCTCCATCACTCCCAGTCTGCCTCCCTGTCAGATCTCCACTGAGCATGCAGTGCCTGCGTCACTCCTTGCAGCAGATGGAGAAGAGGAGGGGGAGGGGGCGGGTAAGAAAGAGAGAAAAAGGGGAGGAGAAAAAGGGAACTGCATCCCTCTCTTGCATCAGCGCCAACATCACTACCACACCAGCCTTCGTCACCGGAAAACAACAAGGAAGATTATCGCACAACAGAGCAAAAAAAAAAACACCATCAGCAGCAGCTCCTCCCCCCCCCCACCAGACGTGCATCCACAGATTAGGTTAGGACAGTTATACCTTCCCCAGGCACACGCATCTAAATGCTCCTCCAGAAAGAAGGAGCTCTCCCAGGGATGACTTGAGACGAGAGGCAGGAAGCCATTGGACGCTCTCCGTCAACATGGGCAACCAGGAGGCTAAGCAAAAGAAAGCTGCAGCAACATCGGGTAATGGAAGCTACCCTTCACTTGATGAAGGATGGAGAGAGGGAGGAGGGGACACAACAAAAAAGGGAGGAAAGAAACTCTGTAAGCATGGAGGTAAAGGAGCAGGCAGTGGAGGAGGAGGAGGTGGAGGAGGGGGGATGCATGGCACTGGACCAGGAAAAAAGAAAAACAAATCTGAGTCCAAGTCCTCTGTTTTTTCCATTCGGAAAAGAAAGGGCAATTTGAAAGGGAAAGGAGATTTGTGTTTGTCAGTAACTGGCTCAAAGGAGGATGTCTTATTATCTCAACATGATGAACTGGACAGCACAAAAACACCTGAAATGTCTGCAGATGAGCTTGGACAGTCAGACACTGAGGCTGCTTTCCCTGAGAAGAGAAAGAAACTGGAGCAGGGGGAAAAGGATGGAAATGGAGCAAAGCAGATTCAGGAGATGCAGTGGAAAGCCTCAACAGCAGCAACATCTCCCACAGAGGATGGAGGGCAGAAGGGAGGGAGCTCAGGGTCAGACACAGATATCTACAGCTTCCACTCAGCAGCTGACCATGAGGATTTGCTTGCGGACATCCAGCTTGCTATAAGGCTCCAGCACCAACAGCAGCATGGGCGGGTTAATTCAATTGTGGAAGCACAGGAAGGGAGTGATAGGGATTTAAGCTGGGGAGGAGGAGAGGGGCCGAGGAAGCAGAGTAACGGGTTGATTAAATTAACTCCTCCTGAGGTGCTTGACCTGACCCCAGATTTAGAACTAGGGTCTGATGCCCTGTCATTCCTAGAGACAGGAAGTCTGTCTGGCTCTATCAAGCACGCAGACCAGCCGCCAACACTATGCACCCCTTTCCACACAGTGGTGCCTGAGGGGAAGGAGGAGAAGGAGGAGGTGGAGCATCCAGAGATAAATTGGAAGGGAGAGAGGGAAAGTGAGAGAGAAGCTTCTCTTTGTGTTGGCACAGGCACAAAAGACCAGCATGCTTGGCTGCAGAAGCCCCCTCATACAGCCATCACCATGGCTACTGCCAGGGGGGCAGCAGTCAGCCCAGTTGCCATGACAACTGGTGGTAACAGCTTCCCTGATCTCACATTTGACAGTGACGGGAAAATCCCAGGGGTGGAGGAGGAAGCAGGAGGTGAAACCTGGCAGGAGGTTGAAGGGGAGCCCAAGGTGGATGTGGATCTCACTCCTCCACCCGCAGACAGCCATAACAAAAGTTCTGAACCTACTGAAGGGCTGACCTCAGGGACCATGTTTGAAGAAGGTGAGGGTCAGTTGGGCTCAGGAACTAGTGCAGAGTCCCTTGAGGACTGCCTGAGTGCTGGATCTGAATCCAATTACTTTGCTGGTGCCAGCATCAGTGTTACTCCTTCCAATCAGCAGTGCAGGAGGAACAGCATGTGTTTCACCCCACTGCCTCACCAGGAGAGCTCCACGTTGGCCAAACGACTCCTCAGGTCTACCCACTCGTCAACCTCCTCTAGCCCTGTGGTGAAACCCTACCCTCCTATCTTCCCCTCCTACATCAAGACCACCACCAGACAACTCAGCTCCCCAGGACAGTCCCCAGCCCTGTCTCCTTCCCACAGTCCCCTTTCCCCGCGCAGAGCCCACCATCACCTCCACAGGTATATGTGGCATTCCAACTTTTGTTGAAACCTTTGCCTTTGTTTTACCTTTGACAAGACAGTATGATAGTACAATGATGTTTTGAGCCATTCTTTCTCAAACCCCTTAAAATCAAGAAGGCCTTGTGACCTTGCATGAGGAGTGTGATGGTAAGACAGGTTGTAAACAAACCTCCTGGTTCCAGGCTCACCACAAGGTATTTCAATGCAATTAGGGATTATTCGGTACATTTCAGGTATGGCTTTTATGTCGTTCTTCTTTTGCTGTGATGTGTCTCCGGTAATATAATAATAATATTTCTAATATTATACAGTATGCTGCTATAAGAAAACATATACCATTCAGAAAGTGAAGGAGAGCGCAGGATTTTTTTGTCACCTGTAACCCCACAAAATATTATGTGTGAACAAACATCCATAATCCATTCATTACACTTGTATTTTGATTTTGGAAGGGTGATTTAAAAAAAAACAAAAAACACAACCATCCAAAGTCTAGATACAGAGTATTATTCTTAATACAGCGCCCCACACACCAGTATATAATGTGAAGTAAGTTTAATTGGACAATTTCTTTTTGGAGGAGGGTTTTAAATGCATCTATGTTGTTAACAAGTTTCTAATTGGAGCTACTTTTGTAAAGGGGAGGGGGGAAAGTTGGACATAGTATGGTTAATTCTTAAAAACCGGGTAGTGAGCAGTGCTGTGTATAACCAAGGAGTCACAATGGTTCTTTAACAGATGAATATAAGAGCAATTTATTGTGCTATCTACAGGGTTAACAAAAAACAAAAACAAAAAAAATACTTAAAAATAAAAATACTTAAAGCAATTCATAAAATGAAATTGAAACATGAAATAAAAGTCCAAATATTATGGAAGGATACTGTTAAATACTGGCCTGCTTTTTGTAGCTTGTGCTTGTTCTTTTTTTCACCTGCTTAGTCGCTCCTCTCACCTATTCCTCCTTGGTTGGTCAGCACTCATGTCCAATTGGTCAAGTCAGTGCTGACCAGTTGCAGATTATTGGGGTAATCAGTGCAGTTTCAGACAGGAAGTCAAATATAAAGCATAAGGACTAAAACCTTTTACACTTAAAAGCATGCAGTCAAACCATAATTTCATAAAATCAAGTAACTATATATAAACATGCAATAAATAAGCACTCATAAAACACAACATAAAAAGTATACGCATACATACAGTATGCTTCCATCTTGTGACACTTTATTTTAAAAATATCACATCCCTGATTGCTTATTTTTTTGATACCTACTGAATTAGTTTCTAAAAGTGATCTTTGCGGTTGCTGTATGTTTAGTAACACCAGCCACTGTAATGGGTTTGCATATGCGTGAAGTGAAAAATAACTTGTGTATCTGCCCCGTCATTCAGATCCACCCCAAAATGTGTTTGATTTTTCATTGGCCCATTCTATGCCCTACATTTCATGAATATGAGACCAGTAGTATTTCTGTAATCCTGCTGACAGTCAAGTTTGGTGGAGGTAAAAATAGTTTAAACATTCCACAGTAGTGGAAAAGTTCCAATGATGTTGAGTTTGCCCATTTACCAAAAATGCACCCCCCTTTTACCTTAATTTGATGGCAGATTACTATCATTGTAATGTAGTTTATGTTATTAAATTGTGTGAATGCTTTCAAAGTAAAGCTAACTAGAGATGTAAATATTGACAGGACGATGGCTGAGGGTCACCAAATCCGTAGGCAGCGCTCTCGTAGCCTCGCTGGGCCTGTGAGTCGCTCAGCTGACTGGACAGAGGAACTTGAGATGAGGCTGAGGAGCAGAGAGGAGGAAGGAGGAGGCTCTGGAGGTTCAGGAGAATATTTGATGGGCTACCGAGGAGGAGGCAGCCAACCTATCTGTGCCACCAGAAGATCCTCCTGTGGACAGGTTTCTACCTGCGGCTTTCAGGACATCTTCACAGGTGAGTACAGAATGGTCTCAGTTTCAGTTCAGTTCAGTTCATGAAACTGAGAATGGTCTCAGTTTCATGCTTATTTCACAGGTATGGAGTGTGACTTTAAAGTAAAAATCCAAAAGTTTCTACTAAGTTGTGCTGACCCAAAACAGCAAGCAGGCAGATATTTTGGTTAAGAACAACTTAATTTATTGGCTAAAAGACAAGTTAAAGGACCTGTGTGTAGCATTTAGTGGCATCTAATGGTGAAGATGCACATTGTGACTTGCAGATTGCAAATTGACCATGTTCATGAGTGTTTGGTTTGTTTGTTCTGGGCTACTGTAGAAACATGGTGGTTAAACATGACAGACCCCACTGAAGGTGACCCACGGCATCTATAGATAAAAGCGGCTCATTCTAAGTTAATGAACACATAATGATTCCTATATTCAGATGATTATACATAAATGAAAACATACCTATGAGTATTATATTCCATTTCTGCCAATAGATCCTCCTAAATGTTACACACTGCACTTTGAAGGACCAATTTAAAACACAAATTAAAAACATTTAAAACACAGGTTAAACCTCCAAGTCTCTTAAAGGAATCAAATGCCTCTTTAACTAGAGAAGGAAGCTCTGTGTACTCTCCTCTTCTTACTTGTGTCTCCTCTAGAATGTTAGTTGTGAATGCTAAACGGAGCTGTACTTGTATAGTGCCTTTCTAGTCTTCTGACCACTCAAAGCGCTTTCACACTACATGCCACATTCGCCCTTTCACACAGTGATGGCAAAGTCCATCGAGCAGAAACTAATTCATTCATACATTCACACATGTTGTGTCATCGGGAGCAATTTGGGGTTCAGTATCTTGCTCAAGGATACATCGACATGCAGCGGGAGGAGCCAGGGATCGAACCAACAACCTTCCGATTACTGGACGACCTGCTCTACCTCTGAAACACAGCTGCCCCTTTGTGCGCCCGGCTTTTCACTTTCTTGCAATTTGGCCATAGGTCTTTCCTTGTTTGCATTTCGTGCACACCAATTTCTACAGCTACATCACAGCATGTATGAGTTATCCTTCTTGTCCCGAAAAATATAGTCTGTAATTTAACAGAAAAATGTATGACTAAAAAGAAAATAATAATAGCCCAAGTGGGCTATTACTATCACGCGTGTGTAGGTTGGCACGGTAAACAATGTCATCTTGTTTTGCTGAGAGTGGCTAACGTGACCTCTTGAATGGTGGACGACCTGCTCACAACCTTATTTTTGTGTTTTCTATTAAATCAGAACACTGCCAAATCAATCTGCTCTTATGAGCTGCAATCTTTTTCCCACTGTCCCACTTACTGATTTGTATCTGGGCACATGGAGGCTGCTGTGCTGTGACTGTCTGTTAGAGCTGCTCCCACTAGTCGCCAGTGTCTGTGTAACATTTTAGATTAATTAAGACATTAATAATAGTTTAACCGACTATCTCTTTAATTGACTAGCAAGGGTAGCAACGTTCAAGAGCCTAGTCGACTAATCGCACACATCCTTAACTCTGATGTCTTCTGATTTGTGATGACACTAGTATTCCAGAGAATGTATACAAAATGTTTTTTCACTATGTATCTAGTCCCACAGCATTGTGGAAAATTTCAGCCCTTCTGAGACTTTTACATTAATTTGTATTGCACAGAATGTTTGGCGCTAGAGTGGTTGACATCATTGCTAGAGTGGAAAGAAGATTTGATATTGTCTAAAAATCTTACCTTCAACTTGCTCTCACAATTTTGACCTACAATTCAATTCAATTCAATTCAATTCAATTCAATTTTATTTGTATAGCGCCAATTCATAACAGAAGTTATCTCAGGACACTTTTCAAATAGAGCAGGTCTAGACCGAACTCTTTAAAACATTAATTACAGAGACCCAACAGTACCACCATGAGCAAGCACTTGGCGACAAGGGCAAGGAAAAACTGCCTGTTAAAAGGCAGAAACCTAGGGCAGATCCTCCAGCTCTAGGTGGGTGGTCGTCTGTCTCGACCAGTTGGGGTGAGAGAGAGAGAGAGAGAGAGAGAGAGGCAGAGAGAGAGAGAGAGAGAGAGAGAGAGAGAGAGAGATACAGACAGACAGGTGCACAGCAACAACAGTATTGGCAATGGCAATCTAGCAGGACCATGGCAGGAGGCTCCACCAGGATCGACAAGAACCTGCGAGACGAGAAAGCACAAGAACTCCGGGGAAGAAGTGAAGTTAGTAACATGCATTAATGGGACATGAATGAGTGCAGAAAGAGAGAGGAAGGGAGGAGCTCAGTGCACCATGGGAAATCCCCCGATAGTCTAGGCCTATAGCAGCATAACTAAGGGATGGTTCAGGACTCACCTGATCCAGCCCTAACTATAAGCTTTATCAAAGAGGAATGTCTTAAGCCTACTCTTGAATGTGGTGAGGGTGTCTGCCTCCCGAACCACAAATGGAAGCTGGTTCCACAGGAGAGGAGCTTGGTAACTGAAGGCTCTGGCTCCTGTTCTACTTTTAGAGACTATAGGAACCACAAGTAGCCCAGCATTCAGAGAACGTAGTGTTCTAGAGGGGTAATAGGGTACTATGAGCTCTTTAAGATATGAAGGGGCCTGACCATGAAGAGCTTTATAGGTGAGGAGGAGGATTTTAAATTCTATTCTACATTTTACAGGGAGCCAATGCAGAGAAGCTAGTACAGAAGAGATGTGATCTCTTTTTCTAGTTCCTGTCAGTACTCGTGCTGCAGCGTTCTGAATTAATTGGAGCGTTTTAATGGACTTATTGGGGCAACCTGATAATAAAGAGTTGCAGTAATCCAGCCTTGAAGTAACAAATGCATGGATTAGTTTTTCTGCATCTGTCTGTGATAGTATGTGTCTAATTTTTCTAATATTACGTAAATGAAAGAAGGCACTCCTAGAGGTCTGCTTTATGTGGGAGTTAAATGACAAATCCTGATCAAAGATAACTCCAAGATTCCTGACAGTGGTGCTAGAGGCCAAGTTAATGCCATCTAGAGTAACTATATCTTTAGACAGTGAGTCTCTAAGGTTTTTGGGGCCAAGAACAAGAATTTCGTTTTTTTCTGAGTTTAACATCAGAAAATTGCAGGTCATCCAGGATTTTATGTCCTTAAGACATGTTTGTAATTTAGATAATTGATTAGTTTCATTGGGCTTGATTGATAGATATAACTGCGTATCATCTACATAACAGTGAAAGTTAATGGAGTGATTCCTAATAATGTTGCCTAAAGGGAGCATATATAAAGTAAATAGTATTGGTCAAAGTACAGAACCTTGTGGAACTCCATGACTAACTGTAGTATTTATTGAAGATTCATCGTTAACATGTACAAACTGCGAGCGATCTGATAAATATGACTTAAACCAGCTTAGTGCGGTTCTTTTAATGCCAATTTGATGCTCAAGTCTCTGTAAAAGAATATTATGGTCAATGGTGTCAAATGCAGCACTAAGATCTAATAATACAAGTACAGAGACAAGTCCATTATCAGCAGCATTCAGAAGGTCATTATTAACTTTAACCAGAGCTGTCTCTGTGCTATGATGAACTCTAAATCCTGACTGAAAATCCTCAAATAAACTATTGTTATGTAGAAAGTCACACAACTCTTTGGCGACTACTTTCTCCAGAATCTTAGAGAGGAAGGGGAGGTTAGAAATCGGTCTATAGTTGGCTAAAACCCCTGGGTCAAGAGTGGACTTTTTAAGAAGGGTTTAATTACAGCTACTTTAAAGGACTGTGGTACATATCCTGATAATAAAGAAAGATTAATCATATCCAGTAAAGAAGTGCAACAAGAAGGGAACAACTTCTTTAAGCAGCCTAGTTGGGATCGGGTCTAATAGACAGGTTGATGGCTTCGATGGAGAAATGATTGAAGTTAACTGATGAAGATCGATAGCAGAAAAACAGTCTAAATATATATCTAAGTTTACATTGACAGAAGTCCCTGAACTTGGAGAGCCACTGATAACTGTTGATGGCAGTTGGTGATTAATTTTTTCTCTAATAGTAATAATTTTATTATAGAAGAAGCTCATGAAGTCATTGCTACTTAAGTTTATGGGGATATGTGGCTCAATAGAGTTGTGACTCTCTGTCAGCCCGGCTACAGTGCTGAAGAGGAACCTAGGGTTATTCTTATTTTCTTCTATTAGTGCTGAGTAATAGGCTCCTCTGGCATTACGGAGGGCCTTTCTATAAGTTTTAAGATTATCTTGCCAATTTGAGCGATATTCAGATAATTTGGAAGAGCGCCATTTCCTTTCAGATTTCCTAGCTATTTGTTTTAACTGGCGGGTTTGGTGGTTATACCAAGGTGCTATTCTCCTATGTTTTAATAATTTCCTTTTTATAGGAGCGATAGAGTCTAATGTTGATCGTAGTGAGCCTGTAGCACTATCGACAAGATTATCAATTTCAGAGGGACTAAAGTCGTTATAGGATTCTGTTAAATTCAGACATGGCATTGAATTAAACACTGAAGGAATCTCCTCCTTAAATTTAGCTACAGCACTGTCAGATAGACATATGCTGTAGGAAGTTTTGCCTAATGGCTTATAATCTAACAACATGAATTCAAAAGTTATTAAATAATGGTCAGATAGGAAAGGATTATGTGGGAAGACTATTAAATGTTCAATATCAATGCCATATGATAAAACAAGGTCAAGAGTGTGATTAAAACAATGAGTTGGTTTATTTACACTCTGACAGAAGCCAATTGAGTCTATTAATGATATAAATGCATTACTAAGGCTGTCATTGTCAACATCCACATGAATATTAAAATCACCTACAATAATTACTTTATCTGATTTAAGGACTAAACTTGATAGAAACTCTGAGAATTCAGATATAAAATCAGAGTACGTTCCAGGAGCGCGGTACACTATAACAAATAGAACTGGCTGCAATGTTTTCCAGTTTGGGTGAGAAAGACTAAGAACAAGGCTTTCAAATGAATTATAATTTAGTTTAGGTTTAGGGTCCATTGAAACGCTCAAATCATATATGGCTGCCACTCCACCTCCTCGGCCTGTGCCTCGAGGAATGTGAGTATTAATATGACTGGGGGGGGGGTGGATTCATTTAGGCTAACATACTCCTCGTGGAACAACCAGGTCTCAGTAAGACAAAGTAAATCAATATCATAATCTGATATTAATTCATTCACTAAAACAGCTTTAGAGGACAGAGACCTGATATTTAACAGCCCACATTTCATTCTCTTATTTAGTGCTACTACTACTACTTTTATTAGATTTATGTTTAACTCCTCTTGTTTTTATTTCTTTAAATAATTTAGGTGGTCGGGGGACAGACACAGTCTCTATGGGGTACAGAATTTCAGAATTTCAATCACAATGCAGGAAAATTTGTGCCTGAAATTTGTCTTTATGAGCTTCCAAGTGTCAGGAGCGCCAACTAACTGCCGCTTTACCTTCCACATTAAGTGGGTGAAGAAATTTCAGGATTGAGGCAGTAAAAGAGAGAAGAGTATAAAAGATGAAAATAAATATCAGACCCAGCAGCTTTAGTCACATTCACTGTCAGCAGGATTATTTTTACATATGCTGTGGATACTGACAGTGGTTGATCTTAGAGTAGACTTTACAGCTGACTCTTTGTTGAGATCAAAGTGAGCATAAAATGTGTTTAGCTCATTTCATAGCTGTGGTGCAGCGGCAGAGCGGGTCGTCCCCTAATTGGAAGGTTGTTGGTTTGATCCCCGGCTCCTCCTGCCACACTCGAAGTATCCTTGAGCAAGATACTGAACCCCAATTGCTCCCGATGCTGTGCATCGGTGTTTGTATGAATGTGTTCTGTTTGATGGGCTTTGCTATTGCTGTGTGAATGTGTGTGAAAGGGCAAATGTGGCATGTAGTGTAAAAGTGCTTTGAGTGCTTGGAAGACTAGAAAGGCACTATACAAGTACAGGTCCATTTACCATTTACACCCCTGCTCCTGCTTTTGTAGCCTGTGGTGTTCTGGATTGCCTGCCACATATCTTTGGTATTGTTCATAATAAGGTCCCGCTCTGGTGTCTCTGCCCTGCCTCAAGATGCCATCTATACTCTTGCCTTGGAAGTGCTCTATGCTTCCTTGTCACCTGGCCGAAAGGCAGCTTTTTTGGCTCTGGATAAAGCCCTTGAGTATGTGCAATGTGTGGTCACATCATATGATTTAATTAAATATAGTCTATATAGTTTTCATGTATACACTTTTGAGTAAGAGCCTTATTTAGTTGAATTTATGTACATTTTTGTTAGGAGCTGAATACTTTCCCTGCAGTGTGGTCATAAAGTCTTTTGAGTGCCTCAAAACACCTTTAAGCCATAACGGACCCACTCCTAGACCCCCTGCGGTTTGCCTACTGGACCTCCTGCAGTTCACCTACAGAGCCAACAGGGTTGTAGATGATGCAGCAAACATGACCCTGCACTTCATCCTCCAGCATCTGAAGGAACCTATGCCAGGATCTTGTTTGTGGATTTCAGCTCTGCTTTCGACACCATCATCCCAACTCTGCTAAGGACAGGCTTTCCCTCCTCATTGGGCCTGACTCCACCTGCAGGTGGATCACCGGCTTCCTGTCTGACAGGGAGCAGCACATGAAGCTGGGGAAATTCCTGGACCATCAGCATTGCATCCCCCCAAAGGCTGCATTCTTTCTCCCTGTACACAAACAGCTGCACCTCCAGTCATGTTCATGGTCGACACCACCCTCATTGGTGGAGATGAGTCCGCCTACAGGTGAACATCAGCTCCCTCACCAAGAAAGCAGAACAGAGGATGTACTTCCACCTGGCCTCATGACACGGACACTGATTCCTAAACCCACCCTGTATATATGCATTACATTAATTCACTTCTGTTGTTTTTTTTTTTATAATTATCTACCACCTCAATGTCCAATCCCTGGATGTTCACCGGTGTGAAGTGGGATGTTTACCTCCTGAAGTTAACGATCATCTCATTCGTCTTGCTAGTATTTAGTTGAAGCTGGTTGAGCTCACACCAGCTGGGAAAGTCCCTGATAACAGTCCTGTATTCCAGTTCATTCCCCTCAAAAACGCATCCAACAATGGCTGTGTCATCTGAGAACTTCTGAATATGGCAGAGTGTGGAGTTGTGGGTAAAGTCCGAGATGTAAAGGGTGAAGAGGAAGTGAGAGAGCCCCGTACCCTGAGGGGCACCTGTGTTGCAGAGCACAACGTCAGACACACAGTGTTGGAGCCTCACGTACTGTGGTCTGTTAGTGAAACAGTCTATTGTCCATGCAGCCAGGTGTTGGTCCACGCACACACTTTCCATCTTCACTCTGAGCAGTGACAGCTGGATAGTGTTGAAAGCACTGGAGAAGTTAAAAAACATGACCCTCACCTTGCTCCCGCTGTCCTCCAGGTATAACAGGTATCTGTGCAGGGGTAGATTACTGCGTCGTCCACCCCACTACCAGGCTGGTAAGCAAACTGCAGGGGGTCCAGCTGTGTACCCACCAGGAGTCGCAGGTGTCTCAGGATGATCCTCTCCATGGTCTTCATCAGGTGGGAGGTCAAGGCAACAGGTCTGAAGTGGTTAGCCTCCTTGGGGCGCAGTGTCTTCGGTAACGGGACCACACAGGAGGTCTTCCACAGGGCTGGGACTTTCTCCAGACTCAGGCTCAGATTAAATAAGCACATGATCACACCGCAGAGCTGGTCTGCACAATCTTTAAGCAGTCTTAGGCTGACGCCGTCCCGGCCCCGGGGCCTTCCTTGCCTTGATCTTCTTAAGTTGACACCTCACCTGATCAACTGTTATGGAGAGGGGGGTGGAGGATGACTGGGGTGGGGGTATGGTGGGTGGTGAAAGTCTCAGGCGGAGTGAGAGGGTGGTGGTGAACTGGTGAGGGGTGGGTGAGGGGGTGGTGAACTGGTGGAGGTCAGGTGTTGAAGATGGCAGGCTGAGTAGTGGAGGGGCAGGGGGAGCTTGCCAGGGAAATTGTGAAGTGGGAGCAGGGTGGGTGAGGGAGGGAGAGGAGGCAGAATCAAATCTGTTAAAAAACATATTAAGTTCATCTGCCCAGTCCTTGTCCCCACTGGTTTGGTTTCTTCCCACTCCTTTTCCATGGCCTGAGATGTTCTGCAGCCCTCTCCAGACATGCCTGGTGTTGTTCTGTTCCAGCCGCTTCTCCAGTTTCCTACTGTAGCTGTCCTTTCCCTTCCTGATCTTTTGCCGGAGTTCCTTCTGGACTCCGCGCAGCTCCTCTTTGTCCCCCGATCTAAAGACCCTCTTCTTCTCATTCACAGGGCCTTAATCTCGGAGGTCACCCAGGGTTTGTTGTTGGGAAAACACTTTATCAACTTGGAGGGCACAGTGTTCTCCACACAGAAATTAATATAGTCCGTAATGCAGTGGGTCATTTCCACGGGGGCTGCAGAGTGCTTCCCAATCTGTTGTCTCGAAGCAGTCTCTGAGCCTAGCACTGGTCTCCTCAGACCACTCCTTCACATGCCTCTTCTCAGGTGGTTGTTTATTCACCACAGGGGTGTAGTCTGTGATCAGATGGACAAGGTTGTGATCTGAGTGAATAAGCGGGGGGAGGGGGGATGAGGTGTATGCATCCTTGATGTTTGCATACAACAAGTCCAAAGTTTTATTGTCCCTGGTGTGGCATTTCACGTACTGGGTGAAGGTGGGGAGAGCAGAGGACAGGGAAGCATGGTTGAAGTCACCGGAGATGAGGACCCTTGCGTCATAATCTGTGCACCAATGTTTACCAAATGTGCCAGCATTTTTCTCCATAGGATTGTGAGTGGAGGAGAGATGGTTTATTGAGTAACATTAGTTACCCACAAAGATAACCTGCTCCAGCAGACATTGAGCGTATATTGCCATGACAACATACCTCGGGTAAAACTTCTCCACCTTTTGTAGTACAAGTTAACCCAGAAGGTACACTTGATGGCACAGAGTTACTCCTGAAGTTACCTGGATAAACAAGTCACTTCGCTTCATAGTACATCCCTCTGGAAATTGGTTTATGATAAGGAATGTGAAGAGATGTGGAGATCATGGTTTAAATTTACGTGTGTATGTCAGAAGCAAGATGACCTGTTTCCTGTCTCACCCTTTCTCTGTTCTTCACAGTAATTATAATCTGACTACAGGCATCACTCCCGGTGCCTGTTACACCCTCACCTCTCCAGGCTTTCTGGTTGGGGAATGATTTTATTGTCTTTGTCTATTGTTTACCACATTATCAACACATTTGCTGATGTATGTTGTCACAGATGATGTATATTCCTCCAGATATATGATGTGGTTCTTCTGGGTGCCTCTTCATGTGCTTGTCTGTGTATTCAAAACAGTCCCGTAGAGCTGCTATAGCTTTGTTGCTCCCAAGAACGTCAATGGAAGTACAAAGTACAAACAAAACCTTTGTATGAACACCTTATGAATGGCAGGATCTGTCAGACATTAATTTCAGTGTATCGTAAATCGAAGCAGGCAGACACTTTAAGCAATAATGGAATATGAAGGAAGTTTTCAAACCATAAACAGGAAAAACAAAAATGATGACCCTACCTTGAAAGTACTTTTGCGTGTTTGGATTTAGGTATATATAGACTAATTAGGTTCCCAAGTTCTCACATAACCCAGGTCACATAAGCCTAGTTTTCATTACTGGCTTTGCAGGTCGAACTCTCCTGGAGAAGCTGTTCCTGCAGCAGCAGCAGCAGGAGGAACCAGAAGAGGCTGAGAGGCTCTGCTCCAGGATCTTGGCCATGGGTCTCCTGCTGCCTTTCACTGACTGCTTTAGAGAGCAGCTAGGAGGCAGCACTGTGCACATCACCTCCACAGCATCAGCCAAGTTTGATGTATGTAGTCAAACCCTAACCCACATATTCAACAACTTTTTTACTTAGGTTATGTTTGTTGTGAGTATTTTTATATATGTTCTTAAGGGAGTCCTGTTAATTTATATTTTGCTTAAATTTTGGTAGAATTTTAAACATGCAACATGGTATTATAATTCAACTTGTAAATTACCTTTATACAGTTATTACACATTTTTAAAGCTCACTTCCCATCATTCCCATTTATCAGGGCATTTTTAAAGTCAATATCTAGATTTTGTTTCCATTCCTCAGACTTTTTGATTTGGAAAGCCAGTATGAATTCCGATTCAACAGAATGTATTTGCACTCTCTGGCCTTTTTTTTTTACTATCACGGTTTGGAATGAATGTATGTGCAACTTGAATGAATTATAAACAATTTTAAAAGAGTTTTGTTTCCCAAGCATGACCAGCTTTATACATGGGCAGCAGTTAATCAACCGACTCACTCCTTGGATCCTCTTGGGGGGAAAATACCAGGGCAGCTGAAGGGCCCCTGGCCTCCAGTCAGGCCAGGCGGGGACAATTGGACTGGACTCAAATCCACAGAGGCAGGTGAGAACAACACTTACACATTCTTTATATGTATATCACAGACCAGCTAGTTGACAGGGCTCATAATACAGCAGGTCTTTCAGTGTTCAGACTTAAGTCCAGATAATAGTTTGCATACTGACTGATTTTTCAGAATCAGAATCAGAATCAATCAATTTCTACAACATACTCCATATTACAGTATAAGGCTAAGCGTTTACTGTTGCAAAATATCTAATGTCCTGAGTTAAATGATAGTTCTAGTCTTCCAACCACTCAAAGCGCTGTGTACTACATGCCACACCCATTCACACAGTGATGGCAAAGGCCATCACAAACAGAAACTTAATTAATATATATTCAAGCACCGATGCACAGCATCAAGAGCAGTTTAGGGGTTCAGTATCTTGCTCAAGGACATTTTGACATGCGTGGGAAAAGCTGGGGATTGAAACCATCAATCTTCTGATGAACATCTAGCTCTAACTCCTGAGCAACAGCTTTGTGTAAAACTGAAAGTTTGTGCATTTAGCAACAACAGTGTATCTATCTGTCTGCCCCTTTTTGCTACACACAGACATTAGATTGGTATTGATCATCTTATAAAACTCAGAAATGTAATTAGTATATTTCCAAAAGTTTTGAGCTATTCCTTTAAAGGTCCAATGTGTAATATTTAGAAGGGTCTATTGGCAGAAATGGAATATAACATGCATAACTAATATTTTCATTAGTGTATAATCACCTAAAAATAAGAATAGTTATGTTTTTGTGTATGTATCAACAGTCTATATTTGTCTATGCCTTACATGGATACTGCTATGTTGAACCTCCTTTTTTCTACAGTAGCCCAAAAGGGACTAACCAAACACTGGCGCTAGATAGGATTTATTGCAGCTATTAAACTACATGCCATCTATAGACGCCATAAAGTTAGACATGATCAACTCGCTGTCTTGTTTGCTCACTGTTTAATGATCCATGTTGGTTCAGGTGATCTGAGGGTTATATGAATGGTATAGGCTATCGTAAGATGATTTGTTGTAGATTCAACTCCTTTCGTAGTACAGCCCTTATATATAAGAAAGTGTTTAAAACTCACTGATGCCCTATCTCCTTAAGTTTTATGTAAGGATCCTGACCTTTGTGTGTGTGTGTGTGTTTCTTTCCCCCCCCCCTTCCCCTTTCATGTCTTCATCTGACTGGGGTTTCTCCTTTTTCATGATTTGAAAGTTTTAGAAGACAATCAAGGTAAGTAATAAATTCTGTATATTGTGTATTTTTTTGCTGACTCAAAGCCAGAGAATTTGCAAAGCCTTGTAGATTCCATAAAGCACCAGGTGAAGCTTTGTCTGCCTATTTGATTATATTATAACTTGAAATAATACTCTATGGTGAGTGGAGTGCCCCATCTGGTGGTGTATAACTGCTGACCTGGTCACAAAGAACATGTTTGCTTCCACTTTGGCCCGTATCTATAACATTTCTTGGTTATTTAGTTTTTTATAGGTTTTCTTTTAAAGAGTACAGGTAAACAAAAGTAATGCATACATGCCAATGTAAACAAGCACATTGCCAATAAAGGAAAGGAAATTAAGAAATGAAAAAAAAGAAAGGAAATATGCAGAAGAAAAAAATAAACAACAGGGGTGGGTCCATCTCTAAACAACAAGTCTACATATAAGTATCTACAACATTTAATAAAACAAGGTATAACTCGTGTTGGGCAAATAAGTCACTCAGATTATATACAAATATGCTGGCCATGCCCATATACACCTCCAAATGAAACATGCACTAGTGTTTTCACTTTCATTAAACTTCACTACAATAAAGCCCTCGTTGTACTCCCTCCTACATAAGGACTGATGTAAAATGGCAATGCTCAATTTTCTGTTAACCAATCCTATAGAAGGATTTTACAGTCTTGTCTAAAGTCCATACTTGTCAGTAAACCACCGTAAGAATGAACGAGTCACCCACAGCAAATATGGTTTAGTCTCAGTCAGTGAAATCATTGATGTACCCATTGCTGCATGTTTTCTGAAAAATACAAAACATCCAAATTGCTTTTTATTTATGTTATTGTATTTTGTTATTTGTTGTAGTTTGAGATGTGAACTAGTTTGTAATCTCCCTTTCAAAAGAGTATGCTATAACCACAAGTACAGTATTGATGTTAATATTGTCACTATCTGTTCTCTGGGTTTATCAATAAATAGAAAATACTGCAGGAGATTATGTGTATTCCAGTTCATCGCCACATGGTTGTCACAAATTCTAGTATGTCATTGTATCACTGGATCACATTGGAAAACTGCCTTGCAGTGGTTTCACTTTACTGCAGTAAGGACCCAGTGGCATCACTGTTGGGTGTGGTTATAAGTGCAACAAAGCCAAAGCAAAATATTGCTTTTGAACCTGGTCTTAAGTTACGAAAGACCACTTACAGCTACATACGGGTGACAAATTAAGTTAGTTTTTTTAATTAGTTTTTCCTTTAAATTGTTACCCGTCTGTCATTGGCTCAAGCAGATATTCAACAATACAAGATTGGATTACAATTGCAATTTAGTTTGGTCCAAAAAAAATTTGATGATGCTGATTAGTCTCCTACTGACTGTTGCCTATATCACTGGGTACTAAGTCAAATGCCCATCACTTAATCCCATGTAATGCTAGACTTTACTGTGGAGGAGTATACTGTTGGTTAATCAAACTTTGTAAAATCTGACTTCATACTTTCATATGTTCACCATTACCTACATGAGACTTATGAACCTTCTAAAGGAAGTATCTCTCTTTTACTGTACTGTGCTAACCTGCTTACGTGGGGCGGCTGTGGCTCAGAGGCAGAGTGGGTCGTCCACCAATCGGAAGGTTGCTGGTTTGATCCCCGGCTCCTCCCGCCACATGTCAAAGTATCCTTGAGCAAAATACTGAACCCCAAATTGCTCCTGATCATTTGATGAGTTAGTTTCTGTTTGATGGACTTTGCCATTGCTGAGTGAATGTGCATCAAAGGGTGAATGTGGCACACAGTGTAAAAGTGCTTTGAGTGGTTGGAAGACTAGGAAGGTGCTATACAAGTACAGGTCCATTTACCATTTATGTGTCTTTTTGTTCAGACCACCATGTAGCCATCTTGGATATGAGGCAACAACAGAAGGAGAGCCAAGAGGTCAGTCACTTTAATTTACCCTACTTTACTTTAAGGACCAGTCTGTAGGATTAAGTGGCATCTAGTGGTGTGGTTGCAGATTGCAACCAACCCTCCCTTCCCGAGCGTGTAAGAGAACCTACTTTGGTCAAATGCCCTCTCTAAAACCAGTATTTGGTTTGTCCATTTTGGGCTCCTGTAGAAACATGGCGGTGAAACATACTCCTCATAGAAGAGGGCAATGGCTTATGTAAGATATGAATGGCTCATTCTAAGGTAACAAAAACACAGTTCTTATTTTTATTTTTATATTCTTATTATATAAGATACTTATATGAATATGACATTTCATTACTGCCATTAGATCCTTCTAAATCCTACACACTTTAAAGCCTAAGGCTAAACTCTATATTTTAACAGACTGGTACATAGAGAACATGATAGTACATTCTCTTTTTCCCACAATGTGTAAAATATTTTCCGGTATTTTCTTAGAAAAACACCTGAGCACATACGTATATGAATTTGTATTGAGAGACTAAAATTTGGGAAAGGCAAGGTTATAGTTTGAGACTAACTACTATATCTTGACTTTATTTTCATAAATTGTAAAATTACTTTCATTTTCATGAGGTAATTGTAACAATAATAGTCTTCTTCTGGGAAGTGATTCTTCCTTTGTTGATTCCAATAAACACATTTTACAAAAAAGAGTGTCTCTGATTTTTGCCATACCTGGTTTTCTCTTATTTGCAGGAGGAATGTGTCCTTCCTTCAACAAAACTGAAGGAAAAACATGTCAATGTAATCCAACAGCTGGAACAAACCATAGAAGACCTCAGGACTAAGATTGCTGAACTGGAGCGACAGTCCCCTCTGCTGGACAGAGACAGTATAAAACCCAAGACCTCCACTACAGACAGGGAGTGTGGAGGAGAGGAGAGCCTGCTGAGGGCTGTGTGTGATGCTCACCTACAGACTGAAGCAGCCCCAGCTCTGGGCTGCCTGGAGGCCAAGTCTGTGCAGACCTCACCCATGGATGACAGCTTTAAGTTCAAAGTGCCTTGTACTGAGCTGGGTAGACTGAACAACTTGCTGCAACCTCCACCCAGGCAGGATGGCCTCCAGTGTTCATGTCAGCTCCAGCATCCTCCTCCACATCCACCTCCTCTTCCAGGAGGAGCAGTACCTCCTCCACCACCACCACCACCACCTCCTCCACCATTACCAGGATCTTCAGTGCCTGCTCCTCCACCTCCACCTCCATTACCTCCTGGTTCAGCAGTTCCTTTACCCCCACCTCCTCCTCCTCCTCCTCCTCCACTTCCCGGTGGCCTTGCACCACCCCCACCACCTCATCCTCCTCTCCTTGTTGGCATTGCTCCACCTCCTCCTCCATTACCAGGAATAGGTGGCCCACCTCCTCCTCCACCAGGTGGTAGAGGCTGTGGGCCCCCTCCACCCCCTCCTCCACCAGGAGCCATCTGTATTCCCCCAGCTATTTCAGGGGTTCTGGGCTCCCTGCCTCCTCCTCTACCACTGGGGCTATACGCTTTTGGTCTGACCCAGGAGAAACCAGCCAGGAAGGCTGTAGTGGAGCCTCCCAGACCCATGAAGCCCCTCTACTGGACCAGGATCCAGCTGCACACCAAAAAGTAAAGATGGTGTAGCCAAAATTGCCTCAAGATGATGTGGTTTGAATTTGTTTCAATTTAGTTTTTGGGCCGATACATCATAGATACTACATAGTGGAGGAAATTGTGAAAACATCCAATGTAGCACAGTTCACAGTCCAAAGACCCAATCTGATATGAGTTTGGTGCTAAAATCTTTGATGGTGTCGTACTAAAACACATAACATAACATAAAAGATATGGTTGGTTTTTCTTATTTTAATCAAATACCATGTACAAACCCAAAGCAACAATGTCTCTCAAGATTTAATAATTTAATATTTAACTATCTGCTATGTCTTTGGCATTCAGCCCCAAGGCCAGTGTTCCTATTGAAGAAGTAAATCTTCAACAAATGTCACACTAGAATTTAATTTTAGAGCGTCTTGAACATTGTGCTGCACAAAATATTAATTTCAGGATGGAAATCATACATGAATATTTTGTGCAGCAGTAGACTTTTTTGAGTCTGCATCCTGGACTGCATTTAAACTGTCCGACAATAAGGTACAGTTGGGCAGTGATGTTAATATATGACTGGCGGGAGTAAAACATGCCAAACCCTTTACATTGTTTAAAGAATGAAGCAAATGGGATTTTCAGAGTGGGCTAGATTTTCTCATAAGGTACCAAACACTAATAATGACAAATACATTCAGAGAGAACAAATGTTTGTATGAAACACATAATTAAGTGAAATGCTTTATTTCACTCAATCATGTATGACTATCATGGAACAACTGGGTGGATCAGCATCTAAATGCAGTACAGCCTTTAGTGACCACCACTGGTTGTGCAGTTTCTTGTACCTCACATGATTAAATTTGGGAACAGCATTGCCAACCGACCAACATCAGTCTTTGGAGCTATCAGGCCTAAAACACATACACTTTGAATATTAGAATCTTTTTCTAAAAGTTTCAAAATATATGTGAAAGGAAGAATAAGATGTAATACACAAAGTTGTTATACATTTTACATACAAAGCAAATTCTTCAAAACTGTAAAACTGTGTAGTACTATGATGCTCAGAATGTATTTTGACAAATTATATATATATATTTATACACACTGTATATACACTGTATATATAAGATATAATCATTGGATAATCATACTTTTCTGCTGACTCATACCATCTGTTAATGTTCTTTTGTGTTTGTGCTCTCAGGGAGCCCTCTTCCGTGTTGGTGTGGGAGAATATTGAGGAGCCTGATGTGGACTTTGAAGAGTTTGTAGAGTTGTTCTCCAAAACGGCGGTGAAGGAGAAGAAACAGCCGCTCTCTGACACAATCACCAAGTCGAAGGCCAAACAGGTCTGTGTGTTTTACATATATGTCCAATATGTATTGTCACAATTATATGGTCAACACCCAATCATAGGCACTTTGAGAAAATAGGGAGTCACTGCTCTGTCTCTCTCTTAGCTATAGGGGCCTTGACTTGGAAAAATGTTTGAACACCTGTTGTCTTAATCACTAAATTGTATTCTGTGTCAAATCATAACAGAAGTTATCTCAGGACACTTTTCATATTGAGTAGGTCAAAACCCTACTCCTATAAAATTATTTCAACAGTGTCCACCATTAGCCCTTGGCAACAGTGACAAGGAAAACCTTCTGGAACTTTTTCATTGTTAAGTAGGCCAAGAACGGACAGCCACTCTAGAGGCAGTCTAGGGCCTTTTGTTTTTTTTTGTGAGCTTCAGTGATATCGTGGTTTCCTACACACTTGGAACAGGAGGGTGAGATAAGTGTGTTGTAATTTGTAATACACTGATAGATGCCACTAAATCCTACACAATAAATGATGATCACTTATAAAATCTATATCATACACAAAATATATTGTTGTATAAAGAATGCCCGCAATTGTGTATGACATTGTAAGACAAATATGCAATGCAGTAACAGAATCTTCAAATTCAAATTTTATTAGCACCGCCTAGTTTGACAGTTTGATCTGAGTTCCATGCAATGTGCTGCACAGAATGACTGAGAATGACATCTATTTTACTCTAATTAATTGTAATAATACCAATTTACAAAACAATTTACAAAATGATCTTTATGTTGCATGGGAGGAGACTTAATAAATCAAGTGAGAATTAAGGTAATTTCTCCATAAACCTCAATACAATGGCTCTTTTATTTTGCAGCCAATGGAACTGTCCTCTGCTGACCATTACATAGAATGCATGTTTAAGACACTTCCGTGTGGGCTTTACTTCATAGATATGGAAGCTCTGATCACTATCCCGGGCCTCCAGCTCTTTCAAATAATGGTTAAAGCTTTGGTATATTTGTCCAAACCTACACTTGTGGGGTATAATTTGCGTTGCAGTGAGCCATTAGACTTTCAGTCCTGTTAAAATGCTGTCATTAACATTAAATGTTGAATCTAAACTCCAATTTACGTGTTTTTTTAGGTTGTGAAGCTTCTAAACAACAAGCGTTCTCAGGCAGTAGGAATACTCATGTCCTCCCTACATCTTGACATGAAAGATATCCAGCATGGTGAGTTCATCTGTTTGTATAGCTATAGTTAGTTACATACAGTAATGCAGGATTCTTATTCATCATGAAATCATAATTCAGACAGGTGTATGCAACCCAGGGTACTGAGGAAAGGAGTTTCATATTCAGCCATCAGAACCTATATTTGTTGTTGTTATTTTCTTTTGTATATCCTGTTAAATGCATTTGAAGCAGGGGCAGTTTGTTACATTATCGCATTTACAGTTGCAATCAGAAATATTCAACCCCCTCACCTCAAAAGACATTATAGTGATGTGGAACAAAGATAATGACAATAAATGAGAAAAAACCTCATTAAACAGCAGAAAATATTTATTGATACATATTTGAGTTATTTTGACAACAGAAGTTTACTTAACTTTGAAGTTCAAATGAAAAATGTTTCTTCTGGTCATAAGCCTGGCCTTTGGCACGCCAGACATACCGCTGGTCCATATGTCCAAACAGTTTTCATTTGTCCATAGAACTGTCTCCCAAAACTCTGTAGTCTTATCCAAATTCCTCCTGGCATATTCTAGTCGACTTTTGATGTTCCTTGTGGTCAAGAGTGGAGTGCGTAAACAAAGTCCTTGTTTATTCAGTGTATGTCTTATAGTTGCCACTGAAGCACTTGTACCAGTCTTCATCAGGTCATCCTGTAGGTGTCTTGCAGTCACATGGGGGTTTCTCTTAGTTGTTCTGACTAAGTTGCTAAAGGCCCTTGATGAAATGTTGGGCTTTCTTCTACAGCCAGGCAGGTTTGCAGCTGTCGAGGTGGTGTCCAGAAAACGATGTGGGCTTCATTGATAACTGGAAGCCTTTTTGGGGAAAACCTGGTCTGATTAGGAGAGACGGCATCCATCCCACTTTGGATGGAGCGGCTCTCTTATCTAGCAACATGGCGAAGTTTATTTCTAAAACCTGACAGTCCAGAGTTGGGACCAGGAAGCAGAGCTGCTGTCTTAAACACTTCTCTGCGCTTTCTTTAGAACAGTCACCCACCCAAAACCCCATAGAGACTGTATCTGTCCCCCGACCAGCTAAATTATTTAAAGAAATAAAAACAAGAGGAGTTCAACATAAAAATCTAATAAAAATTAAAACCAACTCCTCAGTAGCACAAAATAAGAGAATGAAATGTGGGCTGTTAAATATCAGGTCTCTGTCTTCAAAAGTTGTTTTAGTGAATGAATTAATATCAGATTATGATATTAATTTACTTTGTCTTACTGAGACCTGGTTGTCCCACAAGGAGTATGTTAGCCTAAATGAATCCACCCCCCCATTCATATTAATACTCACATTCCTTGAGGCACTGGCCGAGGAGGTAGAGTAGCAGCCATATATCATTCCAGTGTTTTAATGGACCCTAAACCTAAACTAAATTATAAGTCATTTGAAAGCCTTGTTCTTAGTCTTTCTCACCCAAACTGCAAAACACTGCAGCCAGGTCTATTTGCTATAGTGTACCGCGCTCCTGGACCATAATGATTTTATATCTGAATTCTGAGAGAGAGAGAGAGAGAGAGAGAGAGAGACACAGACAGACAGACAGACAGACAGACAGACAGACAGGTGCACAGCAACAACAGTATTGGCAATGGCAATCAAGCAGGACCATGGCAGGAGGCACCACCAGGATCCATGAGAACCTGCGAGACGAGAAAGCACAAGAACTCCGGGGAAGAAGTGAAGTTGATATCATGCATTAATGGGACATAAATGGGGGCAGAAAGAGAGAGAGAGGAAGAGAGGAGCTCAGTGCACCATGGGAAATCCCCCGATAGTCTAGGCCTATAGCAGCAAAACTAAGGGATGGTTCAGGACTCACCTGATCCAGCCCTAACAATACGCTTTATCAAAGAGGAACGTCTTAAGCCTACTCTTGAATGTGGAGAGGGTGTCTGCCTCCCGAACCACAACTAGAAGCTGGTTCCACAGGAGAGGAGCTTGGTAACTGAAGGCTCTGGCTCCTGTTCTACTTTTTGAGACTATAGGAACCACAAGTAGTCCTGCATTCAGAAAATGCAGTGTTCTAGTGGGGTAATAGGGTACTATGAGCTCTTTAAGATATGAAGGGGCCTGACCATGAAGAGCTTTGTAGGTGAGGAGGAGGATTTAAAATTCTATTCTAAATTTTACAGGGAGCCAGTGCAGAGAAGCTAGTACAGGAGAGATGTGATCTCTTTTCCTAGTTCCTGTCAGTACAAATTATAATGAGTTTAACCGACTAGTATTGAAAAAACACAACGTGAATATCTTGGTGTATTAACGAATAATAGCTTAGCATCAATATATGATATGTAACTGTAGAAAGTATTGTTAGTGGTCTGCATTAGAACATGTATGATGTATGCCATCAAAATTACATTATTACATTATTGATTGATTGGCATGGCTCTTCTGCAGGGTCTTTTGACTCAGACTTTCAGACATTCAACAACATAAGAACATCTGAATGCTTAACAGGAAACTATATGGCATCAGTCTTGGACATATCAGGCCAAAAGACCCTGAAAGGAAATGAAGAGGCACAGTTCAAGTCAAGAGACCTACATATGTTATTACAGGAAGAGCAAATTTCATTAAAAATGGTTAAGAGTCAAGATGATCTGCCCGTCAGGGGTAGAAAGCTTAGTAGACCTACACCTTGCACATTCAGGGGGTGGCTGTGGCTCAGGGGGCGGCTGTGGCTCAGAGGCAGAGAGGGTCGTTCCCTAATTGGAAGGCTGTGGGTTCGATCCCCCCCTGGTGCCACATGACGAAGTATCCTTGAGCATGATACTGAACCCCAAATTGCTCCCGATGCCATGCATCGGTGTGTGAATGTGTATGAATGTTAGTTTCTATTGGATGGACTTTGCCATCGCTGTTTGAGTGTGTGTGAAAGAGTGAATGTGCCACGTAGTGTAAAAGCGCTTTGAGAAGAAGTCAGAAGACTAGAAAGGCACTGTACAGGTCCATTTTTTTACATTCACCTTTTCTTCTTATCAGATGAGATGACAAATGTAATTGTTTTGCTTACTATGCAAGCAAAAGGAAGTTTGCATAACCTACTATGTACATGCACTCTGGACATGTCCCAAGGGAAATATTTGTCCCAATCTGTGCTATTTCACAGAAACTTTGAGTTCACTTATGTGATTGTCTACCTGCATGCCATAACTTCACAGGCTGTGACACCACAAGTAGATTTTATGGGAAAAGGAAGACCATAGTTTGCAGGCTCGTCCTAATCCATTAAATACAGCAACTTGATTAGTGGTCTTACGCTTCAAACTATGACACTCCGTCTAGTATCTTTTCTGCACGTTTCCATATAGTCGAAGTCAGGTGACATAGTATAAAGAGCGATATGAAGGAGGCTGGCGCAGATCGATGAGTCAAACCAAAAATAAAAGTTGATATCTGATTGTAAATTACATAGGCTATATAAGTAAAATTACCAGGTTTGAATAAAAAATAAAAGAAACAAGAGATAAAAGAGAAGAATAAAGATTCAAGAAGAAGATATACTTTATTAATCCCTAATGGGGAAATTATTTCTAACATGTAACGGAGCTATGTAATCAGGATTACAGTTGCAGAAAAAAAGACGTAATCAGATGACAGTTACATTAAGTAAAATGGGGATTATTAGCACAATTTTAAAATACATTTTAAAATAAAAAACGACATCCTACCGTGCACATTATTCTTCAGAATCTCATAACACCAGAGTGAAACCAGACGGTTTTTACAGTTGCTAATGTATTATCATGGGCAATAGTGAAACAAAACGCTTTCACTGGGTGGAAATTTAATCATTATTTTGTTACTAAAGCAGAAAATCACAGTACAGTGCGAGTTCTGCCTTTCAGCTGCGAAAATGGTCAATGGGCTACAGCGTGAATTTGCTTATTAAAAAGCAAGTTTTTCTTTAAAAATAAAGTAGAGGATCACAGTTTCAATCAACAAACATAACCAAGTAGTTTTTGTTCCTAAACCTAACCAAGGTGCAACCGTTTCTCAAAGTCAACCCTGCATGTTTTATTTTCAAATATAACTGGACATTGCAAACTTATTATTACTATGTTGAATTGAGACCTGCACATCCAGAAAGTACACGAGAAGGATACTTACAGTGTCATATCATAAATCATAGGAGCACTGGTCAAGCTGCAGTATTTTATGATTTGGAAGTGAGAATGTGATGATACTGTGATGATGGATCTGCAGTCAGCTCAGGAAATACCATTGTCTTTTTAGTGGGATTGACATGCACTGGGTTTTGGTCATGCCCCTCTCCTGAGTGGCCAAACATGACATATATTGTCACAGATGATAATGTGGATGATTGACATGCTGCATACAAAAGATTTAAAAAGCAAGAAAAATATAGGCCAGGGGGGCCAGGTGTATGAACCATGCTTACACATGAAAATAGTACTTACGCCACTTTCCACCCAGGTTTCCAAATGTATAAAAATCCATGTGCTGTGAGAATGTGCGTCCTGGTACGCATCTTTTACATACCATGCATACCCAACATAGTCCTTTGAATCTTATAGTTCGATGCTGCAAGTTATCAAAAAAAGGAAAAATAAAAGTGTGAATTTGGGACTTTTTCCTTTGTTGTGTTATGTGTTAGAATGCGATCCGTAGTTTAAATAAAAACTTCACTAACATATGGATGCGTGTGTGGTTAACCTTTTTGACCAGCTTTAATTTTGTTCTCTTGAGTAAATATGTTTGTCACCACATTATAATAATTATTATGATATAATATATAAATAATCAAATAAATACATGATCTTTAAAAAATAGACATTACTATTCTGTATTATTGAGGAATAAGAATAACCTACACCTTCAGGTGTGATTGACCAATTAACAAGTTGTTAAATCGTCACTCTATAAGGCTGTAGCCGTGCATAAGACCAGCTCATGAATTTACTTAAAGTTTATAAAACCTTTAATAAATTGACTGATACCATTGAAATATATTGTGTAGTCCCTAGAATGACCCCAGACAAGCCATTTATGGCCATTTCCTTTTGATGGCACATGTCATACATCTCTCAATGTAAACAACTGACCATACCTGCTACAGTTACAAATGATATATTGCTGGATTCAAAGCAGTCAGACCTTTTATGCGAACCATTGTTGGTCTGTCTGGGACTATCCCTGCCAAAGCTGCCTTAAAGTAAATAAATACATTTATCATAGATCCTAAAATCAGACATTTTGTATTTTGTACTTATGTGTTTATAGACATTGCATATTGTACATTTTAAAACAAAAATAACACTATCATCTTTCCTTTGTTTTTAAGTAAGAATGAAATCTAACACTGAGGTATAGACTGAGCCATGCCTTTGATGAACCATCAAATGCCTGTTTGTTTTCCCATCCTCAGTGTTCTTTCTGTTCTGCATTATTTCATCTTTTCCTGCCTTTTCATGCAGCCTTTTCCCTACTTTCCATTTTCCTTTATCATAGTGACATGATCAAATAAGAACACTGTTGCTGAATAGTGTGATCAGTGTTAGCAGTTGTGACCTGTGACCTCTCCCTCTCTCTGTCTTCAAGCTATCCTGAACTTGGACAACACAGTAGTTGACTTGGAGACCTTGCAGGCCCTGTATGAAAATGTGAGTAACATGCATTCTTTACAGACTTTAAGAATGAAATGATAAATGCATTTTTAACCCTTTAAGATTACACCTTCAGTAGTATTATACCCCAATTTAACACACAAAAAAAACATTCTTTGTATTTATATATCGAAATCCATTACATTTTTCTAATTGTAAACTTTTAGCAATACAGAACAAAGATTTATTAGTTATCTAGACAGCAACAGCATGGCTCCCAACCAGATCGGAGTGTTTCTGGGGGCTGGACCTCACTGATTACTGTATAAAAACACATACAAAATTTAATATAAGACAGCAAATCTCAGACTCTCAGGCAGGGGGTTCCAGAGCAGAGAGGCCCTGACTGCAAAAGCACGCTCGCCTTTGGTCCTGAGCCTGGACTCAGGAACTGCCAGGAGAGCCCTGCCCCAGGATCTGAGGCTGCACTCCAGCTCATAGGGATGCAGCAATTCAGCAATGTAGCTGGTAGCAATGTAGCTGGAAGCATTGTAAGTGATCAGTAAAATCTTGAAATCAATTCTAAAACTGGTAAAGAGGGGAAGAGAGGCAAGGAGGGAAGAGAGGTTAAAACAGGGCTGATTGTTGTCAATCTTAGTTAAAAGCAGAGCAGCTGGATCTTAGTTAAAAGCAGAGCAGCTGGTTTTTGAAAGAGCTCGAGGCCCGGGATGGCTTTTTTGGCTTAACCCTGAGTATCCCTGAGTAACCCTGAGTGACAAGAATTGCAATAGTCCGATCAAGATGAAATAAAGGTATGGATGACTTTCTCAAGATCAGATGTGACAGAAACGACCTGATCTTAGAGAGGCTCCATAGCTGATAAAAACATCACTTTTAATTTGTTTTTTCAAAATTGAGGTCTCTGTCTAATATTACGCCCAGGTTTCTGGCTGCAGGTTAGATATTTAATGTCAAGGATCCAAGTTTTTTTTTTGTACAACAGGGATGGACCTTGGGGGACCAAAGATAATTATCTCCGATTTGTTTTTGTTGAGCTTTTGATTTTGGGACATCCAGCACTTTATTATGACTTTTTGTTTGTTTAGGATGTGCCCCAGTGGCAGCATGTATATAGAAAACAGCAAAGAGCCAGGGATGGAACACAACATGTCAGAGGGGCCAATGATGAGGAGGCATTACCCATGACCACTGAAAAAGTTCTGCTAGATAAATATGATAAAACACATTTTAGGGCAGTGTCCCTGATGCCAACCAACTTTCCAAGTTGTTCTAAAAATAATAGCTTGATAAGAAAAAAATACCAATCACCAGCATAATCTGAAAGCCTGAAGCTAAGCAGCACAACACGGGCTCTTTGGCTTAGAGCGTCTGGCTACATGTTGAAGTGTCCTTAAGAAAAATACTGAACCCCAAATTGCTCCCGATGGCCTTGTGTATGAATGTGGCATGTAGTGTAAAAGCGCTTTGAGTGGTCGGAAGCCTAGATATAAGTACACACACCACTGCTTTGATGTTGGTTGCATAGACCAGCACAGAGACCTGCATGTCCTCCCATTATCAGAGGAAGTAAAAACCTTGACTTTATATTGTGGCTGAAATTCCAACGACTGCAACTGCTGTCTCAAAGGAGGAAGAATTGATACCAGCTGTCCAGGACCGACTTCATACTTGGTAAGTTTTGCCATATTTTATGTTGTTTTACTGGTTATTTTGTAGATACCCATGATGAGCTTGGCGTGAGCATGGCGCATGGCTAACGTGGCTAGCATTGTACTGGGCCAATGTCCGACTTTATTTTGTCATATCGAGGGACAATAAGAAACTGTGTGATTGTTAAGCCCTGTTTGAAGTCAACATCAGCTCAGCTAGCGTTAGCTTTGTTGTTATACTAAAGGTAGTTCTGCTGTGCTCTGGTGTGTGTGTGTCTTATGTAAATTCACTTGATATACATTCACTGGAATTAATGATAGAGCTATGTGTGAGAAAGAAATGGTCAAACTGCAGGAATTAATTTGTTTGTTAAGGTTGTGTGACTTTGATTAACAGCTGTAGTGGGCCACTAAGCAGTGTGTGTAAAATCATACCGCAACTAATAATGTTGTTACTGAAATACTCGTATTACTGATGATATAAGTGCACTTCCAATGTAACATCTATCATCTGTTTTTGCATCGGGAACTTGTATTTATGAACTTTTGGTATGTCACACAACACAAGTTACAGTCGCAGTTTCTTTGTTAATAATTGATTGAGTAAATTATTTATCATCATTATAGCACTCTGTGTGGCTGTTACAATTCACTACACATCTGAGATGAAGTTTCTAATCTCTTTTTCCTGCATACAGGACAACACATCACTACAGTAAGCTGCAATAAGGGACCCACCAGAGACACTGCTTTCATCAGAAGTAAAGGTTAGTAGCCTGATATATTATCACTTTGAGATACAATGACCTGTGGCAGCCTTTGATAGTTAGTTGTACTTGTGCTGCATTATATATACACCAATCAGCCATAACATGATGACCACCTGGGCTTGGCAGTGGCGGCTTCAGAGATTTTCTGTTGCAGGTGCTATGGGGATGCTCAACACTTAAGAGAAGGTGCTTTGAATTTTGGGGCGTTTCATTATGGAGGTCGCATCGGACCACCCTTGGTATATATATACACACACGTACACACCCGCATTAACTATACTTGTTCCGCAACTATAAGCATATATATGTAAAAGTATTCAACACAAGGGCTATCGATACAACATACATAAGCCTGCCAATGTAAACCTCTGAAAATAATATTTCACACAATTCTGTCACAGTCGAGCCCTGAATACAACGGAGCAGCAAACAGCAGCAACAGAAGGCAACAGACACTGTGCACGCTTCGGCCTAAAATGCTCAGATTACGAAATCACACAGCCAGTTACCAACACTAGTCTAATGATGAATCGGCAGTGTTCCTATTGTTGGAGCATCATAGATGTAACTATGAAGACCCAAGATTTGTGCTTCAACCAAATTAATTAAATTTGTAATAGCCAACAGCTGCCACTGCCTATTGGTCATAATGTTATGTACCAGAACCAGCATTAACTATTTCAGCAAATTTAGCTACAGTACATCTCGTCTGTTGCAGCGGACCACATTGGCCAGCCTTTGCTCCCCACGTGCATCAATGAGCCCATGATCCTATCGACAGTTCACTGCTTTTCCTTCCTTGGATCACTTTTGAAAGGTACTGACCCCTGCAGTACCTTTAAAAAATTTGGTCATTCGCTCAAATACTACGCATCAACTTCAGGACAAAATGTTTACTTGCTGCCCACCCACTGACAGGTGCAATGATAACAAGATAATCAGTGCTACTATTCTGTTTTACAATTAACACTGAATCGGCCATGTTTTACAGATCATCTGAGTGACCTGATGAAGCTCAGAGGAGGAAATTATTGCTTGTCATACCTCAGTCAAATGACAGCCTAAAGACATCATAGTGGCAGCCGCAGCATCAGGAAAGTCTTGGTATACACAGGAAGATGCATCAAGATGAACACTGACCGCAGAGCTCCCTTACTTCAGTGTACAAGAAACCCTTTACCTCAATCATGAGTTTACATTAAAGTCATAGCTTTGGTACTTTGTTTGCATCATATACATAATTAAAAGTTCCTTGTCAGGGGGGGCGCTGTTGAGTGATGGAAGAGTAAGACGTGTTCGCACGAGCTCTGATAACTTTATCTTTATTAAAATACTAAACTTTTGTAAATCCACTCTTAAATTTCTTGGAACGACGTAAGAAGATACACAAAAGTGCAATGTAAGACCAATGTAAAAAACTATGTCAAAAAAGGGGAAAACTAGAAAAAACGACCAACAAGAAGCAGGCCCCGACCAGCCCTCTGACCCGAGTGACGCACCTCTACCTGATGATATGAGTGACGAGGCGGACCCACCTAACTGTGCAATACTAGCTGCTATCGCTAACCTGCGAAATGAAGTCACTCAGGTCAAGAATGACATATGTGCCTCCATAGATGCACGCATACAGACTGTATGCACGAGCTGAGAGAGGAGCTGACTACAACCAAAAAGGAAAGTCAGACATCCATTACAACACTTGAAGGAGCCACGGCCTCGCACGAGAAGTAGCTGACCTGCTAAAAGAGGTGCTATGTCTGGATGAGAAGCCACTTATTGACCGAGTGCATCGGACCCTCCGGAGAACCCCCGACCCTCGAGAGCCCCCCAGGCCCTTCATCCTGAGGCTACACTATTATCATGTGCTTGAGGACATCCTACGGAAAGCCAGCGTGGCGAAGCAACTTTACTTCAGAGACAAGAGGATTCAAATATTCCCCGAACTATCCTCCGGCCATGGCTAAGCGAAGGGCTCTATTCAACCGTGCTAGGGAGCTATTGCGTGACAAGCCCGGCGTCAGGTATGGCCTACTTTACCCCGCAAGACTCCTGGTCACACACAATGGTACACAGACATCCTTCACAGACCCGGAAAAAGCCGAAGAATACGCGTGGCGACTCTTTGGTCCAGGGTCATCTACAGCTGCACAGGACAAGGACAAAACATGGATCTCAGGAACTGTTTGGTTTTTTTTCTTCTATCTGTGGCTGACTAGTTAGCCGAGGCGGCTAACATCAGCACAACAACCATTACCTGCCAAAAAAGGAGAAAAAAAAAAAAAAAGAGGAGGGGGAAAACAACTGCCGTGATACACGCGTGTGTATCAAGACACCGGTTGTGTGTGTATGCGTATACACACACAACCGGTGTCTTATTGCATGGCGGGAAGAACAAACATGCAAGGTGTGAAAATCGTGGGATACCACACTATATCCTTTATAATCTAGACACTGTATTGTTATTATCCGACAAGAATCTCTTTTTTTCAATATAAGTGTTATTCATTTATCCATTTTATTTAGTTCTATGATTAGATTCAGCTTTATGTCAAGTGTGATGCCAGTTGTGACCTACTCTTACCTCTTGTTTCTAAAAATACAGCTATGTTTGAAATGTGGAAATTGATGTTCAGGTTTGGGGAGTGCATTTGTGTTTTACTCTGCATCTCCCAGGTTCATATGATACATGATGATAGATGCGCTTGTATAAATGGGGGTGCGTGTGCGCATGTATACCCCCAGTGGGGTCGCTCGTTCCCTTTCTCATATTTAAATTTCTTTATTACCAAGTTTCAGAGCTAAAGGACCGATTTTGAAGTTAATAACAGGCCACCAGTAGGTGTGGAAGTAACCTCAGTTATCAGCTTTTTTTTTTTTTTTTTCTGGCTTCCCTAAGAAGGCTCAGGCCATTCACTTTGAATTGGCTAGAGTAGTTTATTTTGTTTTTTTTGTTAATATGTGGGTCAGGTTGACTTGGGGAGGGAGACTTGGGCTGGGGAAAGAAGACCTTACAAAAACTGATTACCAATACGCAAGATACTATGAATGATAGCACCAAGGAGAAAAAAAATCTCACTTTTTCCAGTTGGAATGTGCGTAGAGTAAATAATCCAGTCAAAAGAGGGAAGGTTTTGCCCCATCTTAAAACACTGGCCTCGGATATTATGTTTTTACAAGAGACCCATCTGAATAATAAATCACATGGCAGGCTCAGGACAAAGTGGATAGGAGAGATCTATCACTCAGCTTTTTCTTCCAAAGCAAGAGGCTCTTAATTAGAAAGGGTGTACCTTTTTTGCAGAAAAAAACAATAACCGACAAAGAGGGTCGCTATGTTATAGTGATTGGAGAGATTATTGGAGAATATTTCCCTCACCCTAGTAAACATCTACGCACCTAATACAGATAACCCTGTATTCTTTCAGAACATTTTTGCATTGATACCAGATATGTCACAGACTAATTTGATAATCAGAGGAGATTTTAATACCGTTTTGGATGCATATCTAGATAGATCCTCCACAAAGAAACCTCCCAGAAATGCCTCAAGTGAATTCCTAAATACATACATAAAAACCGCAAATATCCTAGACATATGGAGAATGATGAACCCCTCAGGTCGGGACTATTCATTTTATTCACCTGTGCATAATTCTTATAGTAAAATAGACTATTTACTAGTTGACGCCAAACTGGCACCTTTTGTAGTGGATGCTAGGTATCATAGTATTGTGATTTCAGATCACAGCCCACTTTCCTTTTCAGTATGTTTAGACCACTTAGACAAACCACATACCTCTTGGAGACTAAATCCTCACCTGCTTACAGATAAAAGCTTTCGTGATTACCTAAAAGATCAAATCTCATTGTATTTTGAGATGAATGATATCCCAGAGACTTCTCCCTCTACTCTCTGGGAGGCGTTTAAAGCCTATATTAGAGGTAGCATAATTTCGTTTGAAGCATCAAGGAGAAAAGAAAACGTCCAAATTGAAAGACCTGGAAGTACAGATCAAAGCAATGGATCAGGAAAATGCTCGATCCCCATCTACAATTTTGCACAGAAAAATAACAACATTGAAGTATGAATACAATCAAATTGTGTCTGTGAGAATAAGTAAAGCGTTCCTGTATACCAGACAAAGGTTCTTTGAATTTGGGGATAAACCACATAAATTACTGGCTCGTCAGCTCCGTAAAATGGAGAATGATAGGACAATAAATAAGGTAAAAGCCTGTGATAACACAATACTCACAAAACCCAAAGATATTAATAACAGGTTCCTCGAATTTTACACAGACTTGTATACTTCTAGATCCACCTCAGAGTCCGAGATTATTAATACATTTCTAGATAAATGTGACCTACCTAGGTTAGGTGTTGAAGATTGTAAATCGCTAAATGCGGAGCTCACAATCACAGAGGTTCAGTCTGCTGTTGCCTCGTTAAAAGGTAATAAATCACCAGGTCCTGACGGACTCCCTGGAGAATTATATAAAATGTATGGTGAAAAGTTATCTCCTTATTTATTAAAGGTATTCAAACATGCTCAGGAAAGCGGTGCTCTACCACCGACTTTAACTGAAGCTGTGATCACAGTAATTCATAAGAAAGGGTAAGATCCACAGTAAGTAGGTGCCTATCGCCCTATTTCACTCCTGAATGTTGACGGAGAGCTGTTTGCCAAAATGCTTGCTAACAGACTGAGCCCCCTGTTGGAGAGATTAGTTCACCCAGACCAGATGGGTTTTGTACCTAATAGAAACTCTACTTTCAATCTGAGACGCCTCTTTAATATCATGTACACAAGAAGAGAACCACACTCTGATCTTGTTATACTTGCGCTTGATGCCGAAAAGGCATTTGATCAGATTGAGTGGCGATACTTATTTGAAGTTCTCAATATATTCAATCTCAGAGATGATTTTTTGTCACTAATTAAACTCATCTACAAAAACCCTACAGCTCAAATCCTAACCAACCGAACACTATCCTCCCCGTTTAAGTTATGTAGGGGGACGAGGCAGGGATGCCCCCTCTCCCCTTTAATCTTTGCTCTTGCTATCGAGCCGTTGGCTCAAAGTATTAGACTTGACCCTCAGATACATGGATACACCACTAAAGAAACAATTAATAAAATATCATTGTATGCAGATGATATTCTTCTTTATTTAACACGTCCACAAATGAATATTCCGGTACCTTTAGATATAATCAATCTATTCTGTACTTTTGCAGGATATTGGATCTATTGGACAAAAAGTGTCTTAATGCCAGTTCACAGGGAAGATCTGACATTTCTGATTAATCTCCCATTTAAAATCTCCTCGGAAAATTTAACCTATTTAGGTATAGAAGTGACAAGACAGTATACTTCTCTCTTTCAACAAAACTTTCCTCCTTTAATAGAAAAACTGCGTTCTAGGTTATTGTTAATTGTTAATTGTTAATTTCGATGATCGGGAGAATAAATGCGGTTAAGATGGTCTTACTCCCACAGTTACTATATCTGTTTCAAAGTATTCCAATATTCCTTAAAAAAACTTTTTTTAAACAATTAGACTCTTTAATTACTCCTTTTGTGTGGGGACACAAAGCTCCCAGAATAGGTAAGAAATATGTCTGCAAGCCTAAATCTGCAGGAGGATTAGCTCTTCCAAATTTCTTGTTTTACTACTGGGCCTCAGCGATTAAGACTTTTACTTTCTGGCTAAACAACACAAAGTCCCCACCTAATTGGCTACTGATGGAACATGAGGAATGCCATCCATATTCACTGGCTACAATTTTATTAGCGCCAACTAAGATCAATAGGTTATTATATAACAACAATCCTATTATTCATAACATGATTTGTATCTGGAAACAAATCAAATCCAGTTATAATCTTAATTCCATATCCTCTGCATTACCCATAGATAGAAACCTTTTCTAAGTGGAATCACAAGGGTATTAAATGTATTGGAGATCTGTATATACAAGGTGTATTTGCCTCGTTTTCTAAATTACAGCAGCAATTTGGATTGGAAAATAATAATTTCTTTCAATATCTGCAAATCAGGGACTTTGTACGTAGACATTTGGAGGATTTTCAGACCGAATCAAAAACATTAATAGATGACTGTCTGAAATTGCCAATAAATGAACCTAAATTGATAACACGTATCTATAATAATCTCCTGTCAGTAAGTCCCCCCCCCCTGCCCATATACATAGACGCAAATGTGAGAAAGAATTTGGCAAACCGATCTCAGATAATCTATGGGACAGAGCCCTTGAGAAGATCAACACCTTTTTACACAGTGCAAGACATTGTCTTATTCAATTCAAAATTATGCACATGCTCCACTTCTCAAAGGAAAAATTACATAAAATATATCCAGAAGTATCACCTGTGTGTGATAAATGCAAATCTTCCATTGAAACCCATCTTCGTTGTTATGCACTATGCCCCAAAATTTCCTCTTTCTGGTCTGGTGTTTTTGGTATAATGTCCGAGGTTATGAGATTTGTGATAAAGCCAGAACCCTTACTTATTATTCTTGGGGTGTCTGAATCCTTTAAAAAATTAAACAAAGCACAACAATGTTTTAATTCATATAGTCTTATAATAGATTCTTACGTTATGGAAGAGTATAAACACACCAACATCTAAGATGTGGCTAGAGGAATTAACTAATACACTCCATTTGGAAAGAATAAGATATGTTCTGAAAGACAGACTCCAACATTTTGACGCAACTTGGCAACCTCTTGTACAGTACCTTGCTAATACGAACCCAACTTAATATTCGGTCTCCTATATGCATTGTAGGGTTCTCGTGATATTTTCCATGCGGGTCTTCTCCAGGGGGTGAGGGGTGTTTGTCAACCTGTTATGTTCTGTTTCTGTTATCTCCGTTTACATGTTCTGTAATTATTATGTTTGTGTGTTTGTATTATAAATGCTCAATAAAAATACATGGGGAAAAAAAATAAAAATGTCCTTGTCACTGGAATATGAATGACACATACGAATAAATTGTTTTATTTTTAAGGAGAGTTTTGGTCTTTTTGGCCATATTTATGAAATACGGTCCCTGAAGCTATGGGCAGTATGAGACATGCAACATAACATGTAAACCTAATCTAGTAGACACACAAAATTAGATTATGAACCTGAAAATGAGCATAATATATCTCCTTTACGTAGCACAGATTCTAGTAATTTGCATTGAAAATCAAACTTCTCTAACTCAATTCTCAATTCTGAACACACTGACATCATACTTAATTCAATGTGACTTACACTTTATCAGGATAATTATCTTTATTTTTATAGAATCCCCATTGTGAATAAATTGAGGGTCTGACAATGTCAGACAAGTGGATTCCCTTGGTGTATACTTGCTGCTGTGAGGATGAACTGTATGAATGTGGACACAGTTGGAGTCAGTCTCTTGTCTCTCCCTCAGAGAGCCCAACAGGAGGAGCTTGACAAGATTGAAAAGCACATGAAGTCCTCAAAAGACAAGGAGAATGCCAAATCTCTGGATAAACCTGAGCAGTAAGTTGATGTTATTCTTCTGACACTTAAACACTAAGGAGTAGACATAATGGCTGTGTGTCATTCTGTAAGAATGTAAAGCACACGGGAGAGAATGAGAAAGTGAGTAGAAAGATGGCAGAATACATTAGTTGGATCCAAAGCAGCTGGTATTTTCTGTTGTGTTGCAGATTTCTCTACCAGCTCTCCTTGATCCCAAACTTCTCTGGCAGAGTGTTCTGCATACTCTTCCAGTCCAGCTTCTCTGAGTGCATGTCCTCCATAATGAGAAAACTGGACACGCTGCAGAGGGTATGCAAGGTGAGTCAATCTCTCCAAACTGAAGAAAATAAACACACTGCAGATCGTGCAGGCAGAAGATGGAGGCTGTGGTATTACAAGGTTAATCATCTTGATGTCTGTCATAAAAAAGAAACTGGTTTGGTATTGTGCCAAGAAATACCTCTAAGACCACAAATAGTTGTTAAGGTTTCTGCTTGTGCACAGATTAAGCACACATTACAACAAATTAATTATTAAGCTTTTAGTCTTTTAGGTGGTGGTGTATTTCTGAATTTTTTATGTTCAGTTAGGCTAACCGCATGTGTCAGGACGTTAGCCCTGTACTTAAAGGAGCAATCTGTAAGACTGACAGCAAGTGTTTAAAATAGATACTGCAGTCCAAATTCAAAACATTGTAGCAAGTTGTCTCCCCAACACCTCCTCCCCAGACTAGAAGCTCACCTGGGTTGCCAGGTTAAGGATACTGAACCTACAGTTGAAGAACTTCTCTCTCTGTGGATCATTAGGGCATCAAAACACTTTTTGTAAATTTAAAATAAACATTATTAATGTTATACAGAAGATCATTCCAGTTTAACCTGATTTATGTTCATCATATTGTTTATTTTTGTTGTAGAGTTATTTATGAACAATAAAACTGTAATAATTATTACTTTAAAATTAAAACATCAGTAAAGGTCAGCATTCAAGATTCAAGAGGTTTATTGTCATATGTACAGTAAAAAAAAACAGTGGTTTATACGTACAATGAAAATCTTACTTTGCCCGATTTTTACTATATGTATATAATGTGTTAGATATTGTATATAAGTACTATTTTTTAACGTTGTGTGACTGGAACAACTGTAGCAAGAAAATTTCCCCCCGGGGATGAATAAAGTATTTCTGATTCTGATTCTGATTCTGACCCAGCTTTTGTGGGTGTACTCTTCAGCTGCTCTCCATATAAAAGTTTTTATTTCATGTTAAAATGAACAATCGTAGAGATTTGATGTGAATGTTTCCGAAAACACTTTGCCTGCCAGGTATGGAAAGCTTCTCTCAAATGTGTAAGATAAGATATGTCAATACTTTGTCATTCTTCCATTGTGTTTTCTCATACTCACTCTGACTCTCTGATTCACACACCTCTATCTCCTCTGCAGGCGTTGCAGGACAGTGAGACAGTGAAGAAGGTTCTAGGTCTCGTTCTGGCTTTTGGTAACTTCATGAATGGTGGTAATCGAACCAGAGGCCAAGCTGATGGCTTCTCCCTTGACATCCTGCCCAAACTCAAAGATGTCAAGAGCAGTGTGAGTTAAGAGGGAAAGGTCCTGAAACATATTAAAATGCTGCTCCTCTACCCTGGACCTTGGGGTGTCTTGCATGTTTTGTTGTGCCGATTATATTATTATATTATATATACAATTTAAAAATGATTTGTTAACATAACTATATTTACCCCTTACAGTGATGTAATGATATTGCTCTATGGTGGCTCTAGAGAGTACAGTGATTCTCAAATTATTTCATTAATATACCCCCTTTGACATATTTTTTTAGCCTAGTACCCCCACAACACAAAACATTTATGGTAGAATAAAAAAACCTTTGTAAAGAGGTACAATACAGCACTCTTACACTTAAAGAAATACTTGTTTTTAATTCATCACAAAATTCTTGTAAACCAATTTATTGTCATCATGCAATAACATTAAGATAACATTCTAGTTGCATTGAACTGTGTCTTTTTAATAAAAATTTAGTAAAAAACATGAGCTTGTGCTTCACTGAGGATCCTTGTCATTCTCATGGCAGTGAGGCACTAGACAGTTGATGAAACTGCATTTGACAGTTTACTGCAGTTATCAATTGTATTAAAAATAGGAACCTGCGTGATGAGAAAGCACAAAAACATTATGACATTATTATTATTTTCAGCCCACCCAACTCAAGTAGCTCAGATCTTGTAACCTACCAGCAAAAACCAACAGATAAACTCTGGAAGTAATGTCATGTAACTATTACGGTAATTATTTTCTTCCACACAAGTCACAGAGGAATACAATCAAGTCTTTTCTTTTTTCCACATGCAGGACAGCATGAAAAGTCTCCTGTCTTACATTGTTGCATACTACCTCAGACATTTTGACGAGGTAAGCTTTTTAGTTAATATACTTTCTCTCATACTGTTACGCTTTCTCTTTTTAAGACTCGTACCTTTGTCCATATCTGTATACTTTCATCAGTCTTCCTCTCATACTGTACATAGCTCATATTCAGAGCTACTAGGTACAATGAGGCAAACACAGGATAAGACAGTGTTGCATCACACCACTGTAATGTAATGTTAATATTTATTACATTGGCAGCCATTAAATTAAAAATGGTGTGTGTAGCGGCCCTAAAACATTATCAGACATTTATGAAGGCTGTCAGGCCAGGGTGGTGGGCTTATCAAAATCAGGTGCTTATCTTAAAAGGGCAGGCTGGCGTTATTAAGAGAATAGGGAATAGGGCTGGAGTTTAGAGAGATGTTTTGAGTTCGAGTTGTGTACATGCAATCTCTATGTAGGCTTAGGTAGGTAACCTTTACAAAAATAACGTGGTCATATTTGCTGAAACTGAAAAAATCTATATATAACAGCATTACATGACATAATTGCTTATGTCATAATTTTAATATGTATGTGTGCACGTGTGTGTGTTGCCTGTCTGTCAATCACCAGGATGCAGGTAGAGAGACCTGTGTGTACCCGCTCCCTGAGCCTCATGATCTTTTCCAGGCTTCACAGATGAAGTTTGAAGATTTTCAGAAAGACCTGATTCGACTCAGGAAAGATCTGAGAGGTAACACACACAGAATCACAAAATTTCCTGCAAATGCAGCAAATACCCAAGCTTACCTCTGTGTGCCATTTGCTAATTTACTAATTTAGAGCCACTAAAAGCCCAGGTCAAATACCTCTTTCTTCTAATACATCACTGAACAGTTCAGGTTATTCTCAACCACTTGTATATACTGATCAGCCATAACATTATGACCACTGACACTGACAGTGAAATGACTAACACTGATCTCATTATCATGGCACCTGTCAGTGGGTGGGGTATTAGGTAGCAAGTGAACATTTTATTCTCAAAGTGGATGTGTTAGAAGCAGGAAAAAGTACCTCCTAGTGCTCCTGGCATTTACAAGAATCCACATGTCACAAGAAAGATCTGTCTCATCATTGGAGGCGCTGGGGCAGCATGGAAACCCATATACCTTACCTTTAGTCTGGCAGCCGAACACTCATCTGTGGAATCATAACACTATATGCATGGGCAGCCAAGCCATGGAAGCCTCAGATACAAGTGTTAATCAAATCCTCAGGGTTGCAGGTGACGTGACAGATTGCAATACCTTAATCCCCAGTACAAAGATGCAGCTGCTACCACGTGGACTTCACCCAGTCCACTGTGCATAGATGTCTGCTGCAGTGTCAGTTTTGAATAATGTTGGTGGGTACCAAAGTTGGTGATTTGAAACTTGAATGGCTTTTAAGATATAATATATTGTATTAACCATAATGTAATATCTGTCTTCTTGTAATTTTGGTCTCCATTGTTTAATCAGCGTGTACATCAGAAGTGGAAAAGGTTTGCAAGGTTTCAGACGAGGATAACCTACAGCCTTTTAAGGACAAGATGGAGACCTTCCTCACACAAGGTAACAAAACAGCTCATTATCCCTAGGAATTGCTCAGCAAAGATGGGAAATACTATCAAATTGTTTAATTAAACTAGTATCAATATTACTTGCATGAAAATTAGGCTAAAGATTAACATATCAATTATGAATCATTCATTTGATTATTTGATACTTTGGTGCTCATGGTTTCTGTAAAATCAACTGAACGATTAATTTGACAAAAAGTTTAAACATTTATGTGTATGCGATTCAAGCAGCTTATAACTCGCTCAAGCAGGGGGCTTTAAGAAGTTTTATTTGTAAAATGTGTAGGGGTTACACTACTATGTAATTAGAAAGGTAATTAATCACTGAAGATTAATAATACACTCGTAAATGGGGCACCACCTCCGTTGTTTAGCTACTGGAGTAATCCGGAGGAAATTATTCCACAGATCTAATCAAATCAATTTCAAATAAATTTATTAAATTTCAAAATCTATATTTAATCTCATATTTCTGAAGTAGTGATTTCTTTTACACGATTCATCGATTTCCCCGCATCAAATCAAACCGGCACCGACAAGGACATACGGTTATATATGTTTTAACTAAACTAGTAAATAGTATGAAATGATAAGGCAAACAAACAACAACAAGTAACAGAATAGGTGGACAATATATGAATTATTACTATTAGGTGATTCAGGAGCGATGGTGGATTTTGCGATGCGGCAGTAAGTTTAAAATATTATGAGAGTAAATTTTAGAACTATGAGGCCCTAATCGAAAATTCTCTTAAACTTAAAAGATGGGAATCAAAGCTTACAGACAGACACCAGCTCTTTTTCATGTGTGTGAATCCGGCCGTGTACGGGAGAGTCAGCCTACTTTGTTTGTAGATGGAACTTGGAAGGATTCCAGGTCCTTGGCTTTTAACTCAACACCGGCTTTGCGTCACTGATCCAACAGGCCGAAGGGAGTTGCGTCTCGTCCCTGGTACCAGTGGCAATCTCTCCAAAAGGCCCAGCGCGGCGTGTGCGCTACTGAGCGTTGGGGGCAAGGTGGCTGGAGAATAATGTCTTTGTCCGGCTGGAAACGTTTATACGTCTTCTTGAGCAGTCAACTACTGCGACGTCCTTCTGGCTGATGATGAATGTCTTAGAGTGGTTGGTCTTCAGCTTTGATTGTATACTAATTCAGCTTCTTGTTTAAAAATAACTGGAGGATGAAGCGCTGGCCTGGCGAATTCTCCGTCGTCCAAGAATTAGATTAAATTCACTTTCTGTGAATAAGGCGACAATACTTGACGATAAGACTACAAAATATAAAAGAAGAAATTCGTTTGTGTCTTGAGCTTTCAAAATAAAAGTACTTAGGAAAGTACTTCAGCACAGCAATTTATAACTTGAAGAAAAATTCAACACGTGTCGCAAACGAAGTAAAATAAAGTACGGAAATTAAAAGTAAGAGCGAGAATAAATAATAAGTGGATCCAACACTCTTAGAAGGAAGACAGGATCAGAAGAGTGAGAGAGCGGGAGTCACCGGAGTCTATATTATAAATGTTTTATTCTGGAGGCGTATCCGGAAAGGCTAATCGCGTCACTTCCTTTAGCGATATTTCGATATTCGTAACTTTATAATGTATTCCTATTGTGTTTTAAAGTTTCGAGATCATAATTCACCGTTCACAGGACCCACCATGACTTAATACATAGTTCACATGTTTTAACATAACATAACCGAAATTACTTAATGTAAAGGAAAAAGTAGAACTGATTAAAATCATTAAATCATTAATCATCAAACATGTATATAAAGCAGCACTGAGGGATTGTACATATTTCGTATAGTGCTAGCCTAATCCTTGTTATAAAAATTATGTGTCAGGCATTTAATATTTGGAATACTACACAATTATGAAACAAAGTTCGTTTTGAAAGTACCTTACACTATACCAGAATCTTACCAAAAGGTGGCACTGTGGCTCCACCAAACATTCAGACATTTTACACATGATTTTGTAATTTAGTCCAATCTGAAGACAGAAACATCAGACAAACATTACATTTGCGACCTTCTCATGCTGGATGGCAATCTGTTAATTAGGAGAAGATGAAATTTTACCATAATACTCCAACAGAACTAAATCTATATCTGTGCAACTGTTGTTACTGCTTCCTAGATTGGAATGTCCACTATCAAAAGAAAACATCGTAATTTACACTTTAGAGGAAGGGGTGTCAGAATGCCAGATGTGGATTCCAGAGGAGTTTCTCTCTGGAGGTGGACCTGTCAGACCAAAAGAGATGTAAACACATTTCAGGGATATCTAACCCTGATTTACAATCAAAAAGGCACTTAATTATCACACACGATCCACTTTAGGTGTAGGGTGTCGTTCTGATCTGTGGAGAAGTCAGTGTTCTGTTAAAGAGGATAAAGCAAATTAAAACCTAGAGATCCCATCTGAGAATCTGAAAAGAACCAGGCCCTCTGTGCAGGAGACTGTCGGCGCCACAGTCTCACCTCCCCTCCTGGGTCAAAAAGGTCAAAGGGAAAGAGGAGGCCTTGAAAACTCTCCTGGTGGAACATAATCAAAATAATATGATGATTGTTGAATTAAGAGATGGATAAAGCGTCTCTTGTAGAGGAAGACAAGGACAAGGTCCTACAAATGTGTCTATCACATCCAGGATAGGAAAAAGGACCTTCAGCAGTTTGCATGGCAGCCACTCCCATCACTGTGTGAATGGGTCAATGTAAATTGCATTTTTTTTTCAAGTACCTGTTGCACCAGCATGTAGGAAACTTGCTAGGCATATGTATCTCGTCAAGATGTACAAAAAAGCCTCTTTGAGCCATATCCTAAACCCACAGGAAGTATGATTTTGATGCCATTTTTGCAATTTCCACACATTGTACTTCTTCTACCTCCTCCTAGAATATTGAATGGATTGACTTCAAATTTGGTCAGTATAATCTAAATCTAAGCTTCACAGTTAAAAGTCGGGCTATTTGTCAGTTTTTGTCGAACGACTTGCCCTTGGTGTGGCGTCCACAATTGCCGTTTCCCCATAAGAAAATAAAAACACATCTACATGTCAATATTCAATCATAGTCATAGCGCCACCTATTGGAGACAATAAGTAAGCCTTGTATGGCAATAATCATCTGATTTACGTAAAACTTGCAGAAATTGTGCCGATTGCTCCAGCTCAAAAAGTTATGAAACATGTCAGTTGTGGGGAAAATTTATGGATCATATGGGTCTTGCACATGGGTGTGGCAAAATGGCAACTGCCCTGTGATCGTCCCCTACTGGCAAATTACCAAAAAAAGTAATTAGTTACAGGTACGTCTCTTAAGATTAATTGAATTACTTAAGCAACTACTGCATGTAAAATTATTTTGTTATTAGGTAAAGTAACTTTGAAATGTCTGCAAAAGTTCTCTTAATAAAGCACAGCTTTCAGCTATATTATTATATTGCTGCTGTGGGCCAAGAGACATTTATCTAGTTATTAATACTCCTAACTACCAGAAAGCAGAAATGAGTAGTGTTCCTACCTGTAAGTTAGACTTATTGTCTGAATTAGTGGACAGGAGGATTTGGTAGTAGACGACCCCCATGGATGTAAACATTAACCAAGCTTTGCTTTTGTAGTTGGTTAAAAAAATATGTTTTGATGAACAGACTGAAATGTCTTGGGCAGGTCTAAGATTGGGTGACATTAGAACATAAACCAGAAAATCAAGGGGATACGCTCAGATGCGCCTGTGTCTACCATCTTCTGTACTATTTTTAGGGAGAGTCATATGGGTCCCATGCATGGGCGTGGCAAAACGCCTTGACAGCGGCCACTTAACTGCAGCCCTTGTGATATGTTTCATCAATATGCACATGTATCATGACCAGACATAAACAAAATAACCTCTTAGACCTATTCCCAAACCTAAAAGGAAGTCAGCCATTTTGAATTTAATGTGCAATGTTGGCACCATTTTTGCAATTTCTAGACGTTGTATTCCTCTTTGGGAATTCTACTTAAGATTTGGTCAGTGCAATCCAAAGACCTTCATGATTAAAAGTTGAGCTATTTATGAGTTTTCGTTGAACAGGGTGCCAGTGGTGTTGCAATAAATTGTGATGTTTCGCCTAGAAATAGGAAGTTGATCGACACCAAGCTTCACATGTTTAAGTCCCAGCCAGAACACACCTACATGGCAATATGTATCACTGCCTACAGGAAACAGAAAGTTGTATGTAATTGCCATCTGATTGGCGGGAATATATTCAGTAATAGCACAACCTACTAGAAACTGGAAGTAAGCCTGTATAGCGATTATCCGTTTCACATAACGCAACCGCAGCACGCAAAGTGCAAGGGCCTGTTTGTCGCTGCTTGCAGCTTTGATTACTCTATTATGCTATGTTGGTGTCCGACATAAAATCCTTGCAAGGTCTAGGGGACAGATGGTAGGGCAGCAGTTGCTAGCAACAAACCCAAGTACTTTCTCATGTTTCACCTTTTTGTATTCTTCCTCCTTTCATAGCTAAAAGTGAACTGGAGATCCTGGAAGCTCAACTCAGCAGCACTCACAAACTGTAAGAACACTCTCCTTTATTTGTTTTATTTCAACTGTCTACATCACAGCTAGAACCTAGTCCTTTATAGCAATTACAACATGACTAAAACCTCAATACTTCAGCACAGATGCGGACAGTGGACTTCAATTATTGTTATTTACTTCAATTATTACTTTATTATTTGTATTTGTATTATTGTACTTATAACTTTTATTGTTGGTTTTTAATTGTACTTATTCATGATAGGTCCTTCCATGTTTAGATAAAATAGTCTGCTGTTAAGGCTGGTTGAGAACCGAAAGTGCAAGACAGGAGACTTAAAAATAAAATTTACTTGTCTTTATCACTTGGTTGAGATGGAATGTTTCGGTAATGATGATGGCAGATTAGTCCAAAGCTGAGTAGAACCAGGTGGCCGGTGTTTGGAGGGGTCCAGTGGAGGAAGAAAAAATGGTGTTCAAGAGCAGAAATCAAAAAGAGGTAGCAGATGAGGCACCAGTAATGTAGGAGGCAGGAGTCAAGCTGGGGAACTGCAGGCAGAGGAGAACAGAAATTAATGATCAGACAAATACAAAGAAACTAACTATTCAAGGCTGGATACATAACTGACTGTGAAAACAGTCTCCACACACAGAGTTTGACAGAGGTGGAGGGCTTGACAGTTTGCAACAGTTTGTCATGGATTATTCCTTTCCCATTATGGATTTATCAGTAGTTGAACATTTTTTATTAAAAATAAATTTAACATCTAGAAAGTAACTGTCTCTTGGTTGAACTGCTAACAGTTCATAGACATCATGTCAACATGTCAGGCAGCCTAAACAAGACACTGGTTTTGACGTTTAAGAGGTTACAATGTTACAACAGGTGATACCACAAGCAATAGGACCCATATGCAAGACAGGCATAGGCAGGCTATAGGTAGTAAGAATCAGCCTTTAAAGCAAGTTTTTCATATCATACTTTCCGCATCCACTTAGCCATAATACGTGATGTACATTTTGTCATATGCCCATAAACCACAAGCACATCCCACCTTGTTGGGTCTAACTTAATTTAACTTATTAGCATATTTTTAAATAATATTTATTTTGATTGACAAGTCTCTCAAGCTATCAAACAAAATTGTGGCGGTTGCTGCTTGTTGGTCCACTTCAGTTCTTTACTTGATTAAAATTTTTAGGTTCCAGTAATTGACAAATATGCTTGTAAGCATAAACTCTTTCAGGTTTTGTTGGGACATCATATACATTACCCAGTGTATTTCCACAGTCTATAGGTCAGTGAAAATCTATTCTGCTCTTCATAATTACTCAAAGTGTGCAGTCAATGGAACACAGTTTGGCTTTTTGGCTAGTGTCATATTTTATTTCTACTTACTGATAAAAAGGGAATGTCAATAAGTCATGATTGTGTCCTGTCAGGTTCCTGGAGATCACAGTGTTCTTCTCAGTGAAGGCTAAGGCAGGAGAGAAGGAGGTTTCACCCAACACTGTCTTCTGCATCTGGCATGAGTTCTCCTCTGACTTCAAGGACCAGTGGAAGAAGGAGAACAAGGCCATTCTCAAGGAAAGGTACTGTAATGCATGCTGATCATATGCATTACAGTACCTGGTGTTTTGTTTGTTTGTTTGTTTGTTTGTTTGTTTGTTTGTTTGTTTGTTTGTTTCTTTCTTTCTTTCTTTCTTTCTTTCTTTCTTTCTTTCTTCCTTAGAAAAATGTAAGATGTTTCTACTTTAAATAAGCTAAAGTTAAAATGCCTTTAATGCAAAATGAAGCCAAATAAGTTACCAGTATATGCCGTTAACTGAGTTGGTGTATTCAGTATTAACTGTGTGTTCTTCAGGTTAAAAGCAGCAGAGGAGTGTTTCCGACAGGCCAAGGAGAAGGCTGCCTACAGTGTCAAACCTAAGCACGCCTCTGGCATTGTAAGTTGACCTTTGACCCTTGTTTTTGTAATTTAAGTAAACAGAAGGTCAGAAGATCACTCCGGTTATCTACAGACTGAAGTAGAAAAGCTCTAAAAATGTATATGTATTTCCACTGCTTTATGACTTACTAAGTAAAACAAAGCTTTGAGAAATGTGGAACATTAGATGGGGCACATGGTAGCTCACCTGGTGGAGCACGTGCCCCATGTGGGGTGAGTCCTTACCACAGTGGCCTGGGTTCAGTTCCAACCTATTGCCCTATAACCCTATGGCCTATTGCCCTTTGTGTGTGTTTTTTTTCTCTTTCAGACCTTGCTTTTCTGTCTTCATCTGTCCTATCAAATTAAAGCATAAAACCCCCCCACCAAATATTTAAAAAACAACGTAACAAAAAAGTGATAATCCAAGCTTATTTCAACTTTTACTGGTCTTGTTGCCATTTTTTTTCAATTAGTGTGTCAGAGGAAAAGGAGACAAGGAGAAAACATTTTTAAGTCATCCATAACTTGCAGAGTCTCTCTTTGGGAAGATGATAATATTATAGCTTGTTATGACATGATATTAAAGGTCTAGTGTGTAAGATTTAGGAGGATCTATTAGCAGAAATTTAATCTCATATGCATAGGAATGAGTATAATTACCTGAAAATAATGATCATAGTATTATAGTAAGATGATAGAAAGGTGTATTGTACTTTTAACCTCAATGATGTGTCCTTTCCACAGAAAGCCAAACTTGGCATGAAGATTTGACTCAGTCGACTTTGGGTACAGGGGAATAGTACAAATTTGAGTGCATGTATGTGGAGCTGTGCCTACTCTGGACATCTTTGTTGCCTGCTCTTTCAGCCTTTACATAGCTGTCCTCTCCAGTTGTTTGATGAATCCAACAAAATCATGGAAGGATGATGCTGCAGGGCCACCATGCACATCTTTATATGTCAGTGGGGGCAACAAACACACCTGGGAAAGTCATAAATAGAATGGATAACTTCTGTTTACTGCACAGCCATACAAATGTGGGCCAATAGCATTAATGGTGTTATGTTTCTTTAATAAAACACAACATGCTTATGCTGAATTCATGATCAAATCATGTCCAGTACATGAATCCATCATTTCCTGTGAATCCCTTGTGCATGAGTTTGAATTTGAGGATTTGAATCCTGGATTCTGCTACACACATTAAAAAGCAAAACATACAATGCAATATCCAATATACAGCGCAACACAACCCATGCCATGCATAATATCAATAATAGAGTCAGATATAATTCTAGGATTATAAGGACTATAACTTCAAACTGTAAGCATTCCGATCCACCAGATCTGAAAGCTTGTTTTTTTTTGTTTCCGGCAACATAGCTTGTAACAGCAAGAGGATCATAAGGCTGCAAAGCAAAACACGACCAAACATAAATAGTATTTGTTTGCAGTAACACTGATGGATCTGGCCAAGCACAAACATGCAATCGGATGTGTCCAGGCATCAAGGAAATGTATTTATCATTATACAACACATGGTTTTATAACGTGTTTTATTATTAAAATCAAATGTATAAGATTGTGCATCTTTCCATTACCATTTTTTGTTTTGTTTTTCTTGGAACTTAGTGGAAACCATTCCCAGGAAATACACAGAGCTGGCCACCTTTCCTATTTAAAAATCTTGAAATCTCATTAACCACTGAAGATTTTTGATTGATTAGCAGCACTTGTAGACACTTTCTGATTTGATTATATCGTGCAAGTATTACTGACAACAACTTAAAAATGTTATGTTAAAAAGTAACACAAATCTGTGTTATCCCATGGACATCCTTTTAAATACCACAGTAAATCAACTCAACTTTAATATCAGCACTCTATATGGACTTTTGTGAATCACATTTAGCCTCTCAGTAGAAAATCTAATTCACATCAGTGTTGTTGGGCAGGAGAAAAATATCACTGTAAACTTACATGTTTGATTTTAATGTATGTTCAATGATATGATATACCATATCGTAACAGCCAGCACCACATATATATATGTGCGTGTGTTTGTGTGTGTGTGTGTGTGTGCGTGTGTGTGTGTGTGTGCGTGAATTTTACCATCTTGATCAAATCTTTGGGGTTGAAAGCTATCCTTAAAGCTATGTAATGAAAGATTGTATAGTCCATTTGATTAAATCTTGTTGCAGAACTAATAATCAATGTAAAGTAATAAACTATTTTAAAAATGATGTTGAGACACATTTTGTTTCTTTCATTAATGTCTTCTCATGGCCAGCATGATACTCAACAGGAACTTGGCCTTTATCAGTTTTTTGTGCAATAAATGTTTCTGTATGTATATGGAGAGGAGGATGTTGTGGCAGAGGAGTAGTTTAATTTATGTAAAATAAAGAGAATGAATTCTGCATTATTTTGGGTTCATGCAATATTTTATTGTAATAAGATCAGGGATGTGGCTGATAGTTTGCTGTCCAGGCTGGGAGATAAGGTTCCTCCTTGTGTGATGCAAAGACTGTATGGATGGATGGCTAAATAGAATGCCAGCAGAGGGAGGACCCCAAACTATAAAAACTAAAACACTTAATAGTATGATTTCAGAATTAGGACTTATTGACCCTTGGAGATCTAGAAACCCTTCATGAAAAGACTTTAGATTTTTCTGTAATGTACATAACAGTTATTCCAGAATCGATTTCTTCTGTTTATCTCAACAGCATATGTATAAAGTAACAGATTGCCATATAGAACCAATAACTCTGAGTGATCATGCTCCTGTAACTTTAAATATAGATTTATGCAAAGAAAATTTCTTCAGATACTGGAGACTGAATGTCTCGTTATTGACCAATACTGCGGCTACACAGGATTTAAAACAAAATTTTAAAGAATATTTTGAGACAAATGATAATGGAGAGGTGACCCCATCAATTTTATGGGGGGTAGCTAAAGCAGTCATAAGGGGAAAGATGATTCAAATTGCATCTAGATTTAAGAAAATACAACTGGAAGAACAAACTAAATTAGAAAATAAAATAAAGCAGTTAGAATCAGAAGAATGTAAAAAGTATGTTATGTACAAAAGAAAATGGAGGCCTTGATTTACCTAACCTGAAAAAATATTATTGGGCAGCTCAGAGCATTATTGGTTGCATGGATATCTCTGCCTAAACTTGCCCCTAGACACAATTCCATTTATGAGTCAAGACAGTTGGAAAATAAATAAAATTGATAATCAGTAGGTGAAAACCACTATAAACTAACCACTAACAACAATATGGTCCAATGTGAAGAAGAAATTAAGACTCCCGGTGTCAATATCTAGAGCAATGAAAATTGCACAAAATACAGACTTTCTTCCATCTAAATTAGGAACAGGGTTCAAGAAATGGGAGCGGAATAGCTTAGTTATTGTGGAGGTGGGTGTGGTTTGCACTCAGCTGCAGGAGAGAGAGGTGTGGGGAAGGATCGTGAGAGCAGCACCAGGTGAGTTGATTGTCTCAGCTGATACTCATGAACTAATCACTTTCACATCTCTTAAGGCAGTAGTGTGCTGGACCTTCGCCCCAACACACATGACAGAGGAGACGCAACAGGAGCAGACCTGAATGGACTGTTGAAGCAGGCTAAGTCATGTGTTAATTGTGTGTGCGGCAGATAAAATAATAAAGTTGTCTTGTGCAGTAATCCCTGTGGTTGGTCTGTGTGTGCTGGGAGAACCCTCGTAGTAGCAAGTCTTACTACACTGGCACCCAACGTACCTCAGCACACAGGATGACAGACCCACAGCAGCCTCTGCAGCAGCTTCCATCACTGGTGGCATGGCTAGGAGAAATGCTTGGGGAGGTTGCTGCAATGTACAACGAGCAGGCGGCTGTCAACATGCAGAATCTGGAGGCACTCCAGGACCAGACAGGGTAGCAGACCAAGCTGCTTGAGGTTCTGCCTGTCCGGTCGGGGGCTCAGTCACCATCTCCTCCATGCCCCTCTTTCTCCGATATCACTGTGCACAGGATGACAGCGGCAAATGACCCCCCCAAAAGTTCCTGGTGACGTTCGAGTGGGCCGTGCGCCCAGACTGCAGCACTCGGCCCGCCAGCTTCTTCTCAGGAGGAGTTCCGGAATATCAAGAGAGCCATCCTGCATCGGATGGGTTTTTTCCTCGAAGATCACCGCCGCCGGTTCTGGTCCACCACCCTGGGACCCTCCGACCGTCCTTTCAGCTGAAGGACGCTGCCTCCAGGACGCTGCATATCAGGATACGTTTGCCTGCCCTCTCCCTTTGCCTCTGCACCCACCCAACCAGTACCGGCTCCCCGCAGAAAAACCCACACCCCCACTTAAACCTTATCAGGATACGTTTGCCCACCCTCTCCCTTTGCCTCACACTAACCTTCCCTCTGTTTCTTCCCCAGCTCCGGGTCCAGCCGCTACGGGTGCTGCTCTTGACACACAGAGGGTTCCTCAGGCGTCGGGGCCGTAGTGTTGGCGGTGTGGGCAGCCTGGACACTTCCACAGGGAGTGCCCACTCATGGAGGTCAGTCAGATGATCCGGGTTGCTGGTCCACCAACACCCTCTCTCAGTTCAGGAGGGACATACAACATTCCGGTAAGGATTCAAGGGGGTATACATCAGCCACTGGTGGATTCAGGCTGTATGCAGTCTATAATTCATCAGAACCTGGTTCGACCCAGGGCTTTGGTAGAGGCATCGGGGGTGGATATTATGGGGCGGGGAATGGAGAAGCTCCACGGGTTCCCATGTTGCACTCCACGGAAGATCTTCCACTCAAGCAGTCTGGTGACAATACTACGCGCTTTGCCTTTGACCAAGTGATAAAAATTGATGGTCAGTTGGTGCACACTCAGTCAGCAGAGGAAATTACCCAGTTGTTTGTACCGGAAAGCCGCCGGGAAACAGTTTTCCAGGCGGCTCATTATAACCCAATGGCGGGGCACATGGGGTATGAAAAAACACTTAACCGGATAATGGCCTGATACTATTGGCCTGGCATTCGGGGAGATGTATGCCGCTGGTGTGCGTCTTTCCCCGAATGTCAGTTGGTTAACCAACCGGCCATCCCAAGAGCGCCTTTGCATCCATTACCACTCATTGAGGTTCCATTTGACCGTATTGGCACTGACCTCATCGGGCCATTTCACGTGGATATCGTTTTGTATTAGTCTTAGTGGATTATGCAACTCGATATCCAGAAGCAGTGCCTGTGCCACAATCTCTGCAAAGAGTGTGGCACAGGCACTGTTCCAGGTTATCTCCCAAGTTGGGATCCCAAAAGAAATCCTAACAGACCAGGGCACCTCGTTTATGTCACGCACACTCCGGAAACTGTATGGATTATTGGGCATCAGGTCGATTTGGACTAGTGTGTACCACCCTCAGGGTCCAGGAGTGTCAACAGCGCCTGTACAACAGAGGAACTAGGATAAGACAATTTGCACCGGGAGATAAAGTACTTGTATTACTCCCTTCTTCCAGCTCTAAATTACTTGCCAAGTGGCAAGGGCCCTTTGTGGTCACATGGCGAGTGGGTGATGTCAATTATGAGGTTGTGCGTTCTGACAGGGGAGGAGCAACACAGATTTACCACCTCAATCTCCTCAAAGCATAGAGAGAGGCGGATTCTGTTTCTCTGGAGACCAAGGAGAAAGAGAGAGATGAGTTGGGGTCTGAGGTACCAAATTCCACCAATCCTGCCTTGCTCCATTGTGATAATAATAATAATAATAATAATAATAATAATAATAATAATAAAAATACATTAAATTATTAGACCGTCCCAGAGAGCAGACATTGCTGTGTTGCAACAGCATTTTGCTGATATGTTCTCCCCCCTGCCAGGATGTCAAATCTCATACAGCATTATGTTGAGACTCACCCGGGAGTAACGGTGAATTCACGGCCCTATCAGTTACCTGAACACAAAAGAAAAGTGGTTCAGAAGGAATTGAAGGCCATGCTGGAGATGGGAGTAATAGAAGAGTCCATCCTCAATCTCATCTATGGGTGAGTCTCTCCATAGGAACCGATGCACATGGACCTCTTGTTCCTCCAGCCATACCGAATTATACATCTTGGTGATGTCTCTGATGGCTGCATGTTCTCCTTCCCGGAATCTGAGGAGCACCGCTCTGATAGGATTTAGGACGTCTGGCCCTTTGAGCAAAATGCTATTCATGCTCACCCCTCTGAACTCCTGGCTGCTATTCCAGACGAGGCGCACCGGCGTAGTCACTGAGTGGGGGTTTGGTGCGGTTAGGTGGCTCACCCACCACACGGCACCATTCCAACTGTCGATCACGTCCCTAGTGAGCTTAACAGCAGCTCCCCTCCCCACCATCTCGTGCACTTGCCTCATGTAAGCTTCTTTCCACACGGGGTCTTTCATGAGCCGCTTCTCAGCCCTCAGGAACGTTGCTTCCACAGCCTTTCGGTTGTTGGGAAGAGAGGCTGGGTTTTCCTTCCAGGGGTACTTGGCATCCCAGTGTGGCTGGTCGCTGTGGGTGTCACTTTCTCTGAAGGTTAGACCTGCCCTTATTATCTCCAGCTCTTTCTCGTCAGCCAGGGACATCTCCTTTCCTCCCGGTGGGCACTTTCCACCGCGACACCCTCCACAGGTAGGGTCACAGGCAGCACCGATGTTATCCCATTTTAGCCACTCAAGGACCTCTTTATTGCATGCTGCTGTCGTTCGAACTTCCACACTGCTCTCTTCTTCCAAATGGCTTCCTAGCCTTCCCACGAAGTGTTCTTCAACTTTGACGGCTACCATCCTCCTGGAGCGTGCGAAGTGCGTCTCCGACTGCCATGTGGTCACCTCCACTTCTTCGAAGAGGTCAGGATGCACACCACTCACAGTCTTGCCTAGAGGACCGTCCCACAACACCAGGTCGCCGACCCTTTGCAGTCTTTGTGGAGCTAATCGGCCTTCTCGAGTACTGATCAATAGATCGATCTTCTTTGGGCGGGCCAGTTCTCCCGGCTTAGCTTCAGGGAAAAACTGCTCCAGCCGCTCTCGATCTCACCACTCGATCCACTTTGGCGATGTCTTCCATCCCGTAGCAGATCATCTTGTGGAACTTCAGGGTTCCTTGTGAGGTCCACACCTTGATTGTCACGAGATACCTTTTTGTATCAACTCTCACCTTCATCGTGCCGACACCATACACGACAAGGGAGATTGGTTCACCGGTCAGTCCGGAGTCTTTCAGC